ACACCCTTTCGAAGCATTCCTTTGCTCTGATTCTGGTACAGCTGCATCTGGCGCTGAGGCTGCTTCTACTCGTGGTGGAAAAGCGGCAGGCAGCTCTCCTCTTCCGCCATCATGACCTCCACTGTAGTGTTGAGCAAAGGGAAGACTCTGGTTTCAGGGCACAAAATGAATGTCATAGAGAAATCCTGCGGCTCCCGGGGCTCCCCCGTGGGCCAAGCCGGAGCAGCTCCACACTTTTGCCACGGAGAAAGAGAATAGATGGCTGCTCCTCTCCACAAGTCTCTTGCGGGTCGCCGGGCGGGCGGGCAGGCAGGCTGCGCGCGTCTGGCCCCACTCGCACTACCTGTAGCTGCCCCACGAGCTGGTCCACAGCCCCCACGGGCTCTGGATGCTGCAGCCGCACTGGCTCCAGCCGGAGGGTGCTCGGTGATCGTGGTCTGGCGCTGCGGCAGCCGGAGGGCAGCGGCGGGTCGGTGCGACCGCGCTACAGCCTGTTGGCGGAGATCGGGCGCGACAGTTTCCCAGTGGGACCCGACGCCGGGACTGATGTAAAATGAGTGATTTTTGATCAATACCCAGGTGGTTCGGGTGTTTTAAGTTAAGAAACTTTGAATTTCATTTAAATATTTTATTTTAACAGAACTCCTCTGACATTACGGCAGTAGGGGAAGAGAGATACCACTTCGTTACTGCCAAATTGAGTTAGAAGCACAGGTTCTTGCTCCAAATCCATTGACAGCAGGCAAGTGATGTTCTCCTCATTACTGCTGGGCAGGGATGGGAGTTCAGGCTCTCCACTCAGCCTCTGTTGATGCCATCCTAACTGGAAGGATTAAGGGTTCGTTGTCACTGCTCCCTATGTGGCCTCCACTGATACCACTGGGAGATGGCCTTGTTACTTCTGGGCAGTGGTGGAGGCCCTGACTCTTCACTAGGTCTCTTGTGACACCACTCCAGTAGCAAGGAAGAGTGACATATTATTACCACTTGGTGGGGGTGGAATTTCAGGCTGCTCATGAGGTCTCCACTGATACTACAATGTCAGGGGGGCTTGGCAAACCTCCTTACAGCTTGGCTAAGGTGGCCTTCTAGGCTTTCTACTTGGCCTTTTCTGGCTTGGTTGGTGTTACAACCACAGTTTTTCTGATGTTTAATGTAGTAGAGAGGTTATTGTCTAAAAGTGCTCTGCTCTGCCAGGCTGCCTTCCTTTCTTAGAACTTTGGCTTTAGAGGCTTTTCTTGAGGCCTTTTTTTTGATTGTCCTCATTGGCATTTCTAAGCTGCCAGCTTCTCCAACAAGTATGAGACACATGAACCAAAGTAATACCCAGGGAACTTCCTACCATATTGGTCCTCTGGTCCTGGGATTGCTAGCCCGTCTGCTGCTTCTATCCACCTTTCAATATATTCTTATGTTTGTTTTATATATAATGTCTATGGCTTTAACTATACCTAGTAGTAGGGATAGGGAAAAGTATTTCTACTTTACCTTTATGGATGTAGAAATCAAGTACCAAGAATTTTTATTATTGCCCAGGTAACTCAAGAGGAGGGATGTGACTCTGAGTCAAAGGGTATGTGTGAGACGGGAGCAGCTGTTCACAGCAGTAGAATGGGATCCTGCAATACAGTGGCTGGCTGCACTAGGGGAGAGAGGGCTGGGAAGTAATTCCCTGTCATAGGTGATGCTGATAGATGGATATCAGACACAGTAGTGCCTGATGTTCCATTTGGAGCAATTGCCTCCTCTGTATTCCAGTGACTCTACATTTTCCCCCAAACCTTAAGTCAGTTTTTATTATATATAGCACTCTAGTATTAGAGAACAAAGGAAATGAAGGAGAAGGTTATGCAATTGTATTTGGGGCTGAAGATACTGGGCGAGGTAGGGGGCCAGTGATGAAGGCCTGAGCTAGGATCAGGTGGATGAAAATGGACCACGGCATCTGGACCACAGCATGGCCATGTGAAGTCACCATGGAAGTTCCTGGAGCTCTTTGGAGAGGAGGAAAAAGCAGGGACAAATAGCTGAGGCATCATGAGGAAGAGGGTTTCTTGGTGGAGGAGGCGATGCCCCACTTGGTTCTCTCTAAGCTCATTGCTCTGCTACTTGGGTAGAGAGAAGCACTTCTCCTCCTGGGTATGCAGGGAAACTCTTTGCATGGATTCCGAAGGAAGCCCCATGCAGTTCTGGCCCACTGAGTGCTCTCAGTCTCACAGACTCCTGACGCCTTGCTCTTCCCCTGGTGGGGTCTGAAGTGGAGGCAGCTCCCTGGTCAGCCACTCCTCTCCAGCATAGCACTCTTCATGTCAGCGATATCCTTGCTGCTCCGTGGGCCCTGAGCCCAGAGCTCCTAAAGCACCAAACCCAGTGGAGCAGAGACACCCTGGCATGGGTATGGCGATATCAGTTCTACTCTGTTGCTTCCCCAGGGCCAGGCCAGCATGAATGACTCAGCACACTGGCTACAACTGGGGGCGATGGGAAGCATAGTAAGCGGGGTCTGTGGCAAGCTTCTAACCACGTTTGACTTTTTCCGTGACTCTTCTGCTTTAGAACACCTGGAAATGGAGAAATTGCAAGGGGCTGCAGGATGCATGCTTGTTATTTCTGTATGAGAAGGTTGCTCCTTGCTCTTCAAAGCATAGGGTGAACTTGGCCTGTGTGACTGGGCAGCAGAGGGCCAGGCAGGGAGTTCTTCTCGTGTGTGTCGCCTTTTCCAGTAAATGCCAACCCATCTCCCCAAGTCATCTTTTCCTAAACTCTAAGTCTCATTATTAATTGTGATCCCCTTCATTGTCCAGGGCAAACTGGTCTCCCTGCCCATCATTACTCCTGAGCCCCTGTGGAGTGAGTCTCCATCCCCACAGTCAGCATCGTATTTTATAGGACTGTTCCTGCAGCTGGTGAAGAAACCTGGTCGGCTAGTCCGGAGCTGTGGGCACCTGAAGGAGGCAGGAAGAATGAGGATGTAGAGGAGGGGTCCGACCCAAGCAATAAGACTGAGCAGTTGCCTGGTAGGATTTAGAGGCTGATGAGACATGAGGGGAGAGGTTTAGGAAGGTGCTCGGGTTTGCTCTCACGGAGACAGCTAAAGGTGCAGTGCAGTGTTGGGAGAAGGGCTGAGGGGTTCTGTTTGGAACATGTTGGATTCGAAACATCTGTGGAACATTCAGGCAGAGTGGACTTGAGCTCAATGGAGAAGTCTGGGTGGACACTGCGATAGAGAGAGATGTGGGAGCCCCGGGCACAGGTGATCCCCAGGAAGGATGTGCAGAGCAAAGTCCTCACCGGTTTTTAATCCCACACCTTGACACTTAAAATGACTGTCGAGTGTTACTCTCTCTAATTTGCTTTGTGAGTATAACAATGATGACAGTGGCTGTCATGGGCTGAATCATGTCCCATCAAAATTTGTATGTTGGTGTCCTATCCCCAGGACCTCAGAATATGACTGAGGAGATAGGGTCTGTATTTGGAGATAGGATCTTTAAAGAAGTATTTAAGTTAAAATGGTGCTATTAAGGTGGGTCCTAACTCAATAGGGGTAGTGTTCTTAGAAGAGGAAATTAGGACACAAACACACAGAGAGGAAAGACCATGTAAAGACACAGAGACAGGACAGTCTAAAAGCCAAGGAGAGAAGCCTCCAAAGAAACCAACCCTGCCAACACCTTGATCTCAGACTTCCAGCGTTCACAATTATGAAAAAATAAATGTTGAGGCCACTCAGTCTGAAACTTTGTGATGGTGGCAGGAGCAAAGTGACACAGCAGCCAATGCTGGGTACTTACTGTCTATCAAATCCTGCTTAGGCACTGTGCATATTTTGACACATATAATATTCACAGCAACCCTGTTCCTAGCACACGGTACAGTCCTCTGCACTGCAGCTGTAAGGGCCCCTTCATTTCCCCCCAGTCGCGAAGCCTTCTCCACTGCCCAGCTTGTCCTCCTGCTCTGGCCTCCCCCTGGGATGACGTTTCTCCAGATTTTTACACCCCTCCCTCCCTCCTCAGGTGCCAGGTGCTCAGTGACCTTCCCTGGTCACCCGCCAACCCCTGCCCCGACTCTAGCCCTTCACCCCACTGGGTGGTTCTTCCATATCCTTGTCATTGCCTAGCGTGATGCCATTTGCAAGATGAGGAAGTCAGTAAGACTAACTGCTAGCATTTAATGAGCACATACTTTTCCATGTCTCATTTCTTCTCTTATAGCTACACTAACAAGTAGTGATGCATTATTATTTTCCTTTTATCTCTGCTTTCTAGAGCAGAAGGCTGGGGCTCAGAGATATGAGGTGAGTTTCCCAGGTCACACAGGAACAAGAGTGAAGGAAGGGAGCTGGGTTTACTAGGAGAGAACACACTGAAATTCAGGCATTATGTGGAAGACACAGTCCCGGCTCTCTTTAGGTTGGCAAAGTCCGAAGCTGGGAAACAGGAAAGGAATAGAAATATGAACATGAACGTATGTGCGTGTGTTTGCTTCCCTTGCTACAGTTCTTATGTTCTTTTTTAAGGAGGGCAGGATTTTGCCTGTTTTGTTCTCTGCCATATCCTCATTATCTAGAATAGTGCCTGCTATTGTTGGGCTCTAAAAAAATATTGAAGGAAGGAAGGAAAGAAGGAGGGAGAAGGAACAGAAAGGGAGAGGAAGGATTGCTTTTTTTCCCACAGGGGGCCTGAGCCTGTCATCCACAAAGCTACAGAGCTTTGACCTTTACCTGTAAGAAGGATTTTGAAGCCACCCCACCCAGTTCTGCTCCCCCACAGTCTAGACAAGGTTCTCGTGCCCCACTGGCCACACAAGTGTCCTCAGAAGGAGCATACGCAGATGGAGGGGACTCCTTGTGACCAGCAGAGAAAACAGGGTGGGCCGCTGCCTCACTGAGTTCCTGTGGGTGGGAGAGCCAGTGGGGTTCTATAAAGGCTCCCTGGCCAGAGGCCCTAGGGAGGGCAGTGGCTTCTAGCCCTTCATCTCTGGCAAGGGTCACAAAAATGGCCCTGGTTCTATGGGTCTTCATCCTGCTGGGCTTAGCCTGCTCAGTGTCAGCCAACATCTTTGGTGAGTTCTGAGGTCAAGGCCATGGATCGGGGGGTGGGGAGGGAGCTTTCAGGCACAGAGCTCCTGTGTTAGCCAGGCTCTGCCTCAGGGCCTTTGAACAACTGCCCAGAGGTCAGTTGTTTGCTCTTTTCTTTTCAAATGAAGAGACAGAGGTTCAGAAAGGTGAACAGAATCTCCTGAGAGAACAGAGCTAGTGATAGTTGAGCGGAGATGGGCAACCAGATTTTCCTAATTCAATTCTAGCTCCCCTCACCCCACCTTTTTAGTAAATTTTTGGCATTGAAGTTGGTTGTTTATCCCCTTAGCTGTCCCAGAGTCTATGTCATCCATGTGAGGTATTTGAGAAGTAGCCGGCAAACAGTGGAAAAAATAAATCTACCAGTGCAGTGAAATAGACCTAAGTTCTATCCTTGGCTCAGCCACTCACCTGTGTGACTTTGGGCAAAGTGCCAAGCTTCAGTTTCTTCATTTAAAAAGTAAGCAACAGCACTTATTTCATGGTGCGGTTGTGATTTCTGTGTAAAATCCTGCATGTTACATGGATTCTCATGGAGACTAAGACACATGTACGTTATTAATTAATTTGTATTCCTACTGTGTGCCAGGAAAGTTCTTTCTGCAGGGAGTGGCCTGATAAATTCAAGAACAACTTCCTTATGGTGTTTTGACCTAACTCAATGGTGGCTTGGGGGAATTTGCAGTCTCAGGGTTTACTTTGGAATCCCTCGCTTGTTGTGTGAAACTTGGGAGGGTTCCCTTTGCTGCCTGAGTCTTGGTGCCATTCAGTAACATTGAGATACTACCTGTCACCTCTCAGGGAATGTTGAGGATTAAATGTACGAAAGACATACTTGGAAAAGTGTGAATAGCAACCGAATTGCAAGTTTGATTGTAATAGTTAATGTTGCTGCTCCTAGAAAAGCATCTGCTAGAAAAGCTTAAGGGAGCCCATCTCTGTTATTGGAACCCAGTCCCACTCTCCTCTGATGAATTGCTTCCCTTTCCAAAGAATACCAGGTGGACGCCCAGCCGCTTCGTCTGTGTGAGCAGCAGAGGGAAAGGGCCTTTCTGGAGCGAGCAGACTACATTCCCCAGTGCTCAGAAGATGGCAGCTTCCAGTAAGGCTTATTTCAGCAATTGCACTGTCAGGGTCCTAAGATGCCTTAAAGAGCATTTCATGCCTTCTCTCCCTTCCCCCCACACTATGCCCTTCAAGTGATCTATGCACATGACGTGGCCGATGTCATTTGGAGGGTGCTCTCGGTTCCCCAGGCTTATCACTGCATTATGTGATTGAGAGAGCTCCAGAGAGCCCCAACCATGACCACTGACATTCCTTTTCTTCCTGCCAACACTTTTACTGTCATCACTTTAATAAGTGGTATGTGCTGGGGGGCAGGATGATCTGTGCTTTGGCACATTCCCCTCCTCCTGGTATCTTTTGGAAAAACCAGGGGTGAAGGAAAGCTGAGGCTGGCTGGACTTTCAGGCCCACGGCTGCCTCTAACCCCTTCCCTGTCTAGCTGTCTCTCTAAGGAGCTCCTCTCCAAAAGGGTTTTTTCCAGCTGCCCCAAAACAAAATTGGGTCCTGGGACTTTCTTGGTGTAGAGTGCTATAATAATCTAAACAACTCCCTCCTTTGCAATAGACAAGAATCCTTTGTAATGTGCATGCAATTGAAATTTCCCCGTGCTATTCCAGTCATGTGGAATTAGGGAAACTCTGTATGCCTGTGTTCTGGGAAACATCCCTCCCTACCACTACCTTATATACTCTCAATGCACCTAACCAAACTCTTACACACTCGCACGAGTACAAAGAGACACTGTCAGTCCAATCCCTGCTTGGATCTCTGGGACTTCTGGAGCAGTGAGGAAGGAGATGAGGAAGATGTCTCACTTTTGCCAGCTTTATTTCTGTTCCTCTTCCCATGTCTCTGTTCTAGCCTCATGAAGTTCAAGCTTGCCATCCTCAGGAGGCTTTGCATATGCCATTCTCTTTACCTGGAGCATCTTTTACCTTCCTAAACCTCCTGACCATCCTGCAGGGCTCTGTTTAGCCATCACTTCCCCTAGGGAACCCATCCAGGACCTGGCCTGACCCCATCTATGGGCTTCCCCATATAACCTGCTGGCCCCTGACCTTGCTGAGGCCCCCCGGTCCGCATCCACATTAGTAGGGCCCTACCTTCACCCTCTTCAGCCTCACAGTAACCAAGAGCCTTGGTGGATGTGGCTGAGGCCTCGCACTGCAGGGGAGCCACCTGCTTCAGGGCTGTCACCTGGTTGGGTAGAGAATGGATGACCAAGGTAGGGGCCATGCAGGTGTCAGCAAAGCAGGAAAAGCAGTGCCTGTTCTTTCCCAAGTCACCCTCCCCTTTCCACTCCACTCTCTCCTAATTTAAATGAGCTAAAACTTGGAAGAATGGGAAGGAAGAAGAAAGGTAACCTGGGTTACCATTCTTTGGGAACCATAACAGTGTCATTGGTGTGACTCTCTTCATCAGGACTGTCCAGTGCCAGAATGATGGCCGCTCCTGCTGGTGTGTGGGCGCTGACGGCAGGGAAGTGTTGGGCAGCAGGCAGCCTGGGCGGCCTGTGGCTTGTAAGTGCAAAAAGGGGTTCCTGCTGGGACAAGAGGGCCTTGCTAGGATAACCCACGCCCATATCCGGGAGTGAGCCCTGGGTTTGGGTGGGTGACCAGGGGAGTCTCCCTCTGGACTGCTGGCTCCTCCTCTCTGAATAAGAGCAGTCCCTGCATGCCGGGCAAGGCACTGCTTCCTACTGCACCCCTGCGAAAATCAAACGAGACCATCAAGTCATTTGTGCAGCTAGTAGTGACAGTGTCTCTCACAAGCCAGGCTCTGTGCCTAGTGCTGAGAAAACACTGGTGAATGGACCTCAAAGTCCTTTGAAACCAGAAAGCAGCCACGAGAAGAGGAAGTGTTTTCTCGCCTGTGGTGTGAGGTGTTTCTACAATTTGGGACTTAGGAGAAAGCTGTCCAGTTAAGATAGGTATTATGGTGAATAGTCAAAGAAACACAGTCCCCATTTAAAGCATGTCTTAACCCTAAGATGAAGATCAATTTAAGTCAGTCACCTTAAGGTAGTGAGATTGAGCCTGGAACCAAAGCTATCCTTTAAAGGATGAGGGTTGTTTGGGGCACTGGCTATATGCAGCCAGTGTGGCTGGCGTGGGGTTCAGGCTGGCTCCTCACGCTCTCTGACCACTTGAACTTGGCAAATGACACACCCTCACTGGAGCTACAGTTCCTCATCTGTAGCATGAATACAGGATCTGCCCCAGAGTGATGTTGCGAGGACATAAAACACCAGACACACAGGAGGAGCTCAACAGGCAGCAGTGACTGTTAATGTCAAAAGCCCTCGTGCCCCCAGAAGGCAGCTATATTTCAACTCTGTGGATAAAGAAAGTGAGGCACAGAGTAGTGAAGCAGCTTCCCCAGGGTTATGCAGCAAGCATGTGGAGTGGAGAAATCTGTATTCAGACAAGCTCTGTTACATCAGGCCTCTGCTGCCATTGCCCCTCTGCAGCGCCAGGGCTTCAGGCCGATTGATGTGGCACTAGCAAAAGCTGCCCTTCTCTGACTCAAGTCCACAGAATGCTGGAACAGTCTGAACACTATTCCTGAGGCTACCACCAACTCAATGAGTGTCCTTGATCCAGTCATTTGCCCCTAGGTCATTTCCTTCTGGGGAGGGAGCCTGGGTTCTGCAGGGCTTAGCCCCCTGGAACTTTTCCCTGTAGCACTCCTCTGACACTGCTCTCTGCATCTGTAGGTCTGTCATTTTGTCAGCTGCAGAAGCAGCAGATCTTGCTGAGCGGCTACATCAACAGCACAGCCACTTCCTACCTCCCTCAGTGTCTGGATTCAGGGGACTATGCACCCATTCAGTGTGACCTGCGGCGAGTGCAGTGCTGGTGTGTGGACGCAGAGGGGATGGAGGTGTATGGGACCCGCCAGCTGGGGAAGCCACTGCAATGTAAGTCTCCCTGAGCACCAGCACCCGGGAGGGACATGCAGCCTTCCTCACGGTCAATCAAAACGTGCATGGCCCCTGACAGAAGGGCAAAGAACCTGGCCCTCAACACTAGGAAGAAAGGTTTTATTACTTCTAATCCTTCTGTGTGGTAGACAATTGGTGTTCCTCAGCTGGTCCCTAGGAGCATAAGCAGGGTTACGATGAATGTCTGAGTCTCCTGCTGCAGACCATAGTCACTGCTTGGGTCTCTAAGTGTCATGTGTGTAGTGTAAATCTCTTCATCTTGACTGCAGAAACATATGCGCCTACTCATACATACAATGTATGACATAACTCATACATAACATTTTTTTTTATATAAAAATGTTTAGGTCCCAGGAGCTGTGAGATAAGAAACCGTCGTCTTCTCCATGGGGTGGGAGACAAGTCGCCACCCCAGTGTTCTGCAGATGGAGAGTTTATGCCTGTCCAGTGCAAATTTGTCAACACCACAGACATGATGATTTTTGATCTGATCCACAGCTACAACAGGTAAGTAGGGCCGGCCTCTGGGATGTACCGATCATGGGCCATCCCCTGCCAAAGCTCATGCTCACATTGGGAGCCGGGGGCTTCAATGTGTCATGCAGCCCAGTGATGAATGAAGAGACGCCTTACTCTCTTATGCCACTGCTAGGCATCTGATGTGCTATGGCTATTAAATTTGAAATATAGTTACTGTATTAGTCAAGGTTCTTCAGAGAGACAGAAAAAAAGAAAGGATCAATTTTCTGTATTAGTCTGTTTTGTGTTGCTATAACAGAAATACCTGAGAGTGGGTAATATATAAAGAACAGAGGTCTATTTGGCTTATGATTCTGGGACAGCTGCATCTGGCATGGGCCTCAGGCTACTACTACTCATGGCAGAAAGTGGCAGGCAGCCCATGGGTACATGCAGATCACATGGTGAGAGACAGTAAGAGAGAGAGAGGAGGTGCCAGGGTCCTATAAACAACCAGCTCTCATGGAAACTAATAGAGCAAGATCTCACTCAGACTCCTTTCCCCCAGGGAGAGCATTAATCCATTCATGAGGGATCTGCCCCCATGACTCAAACAGTTCCCAACACTGTCACATTGGAGAACAGATTTCCATATGAGTTTTAGTGGGGACAACACATCCAAACTCCATCATTCCACCCCTGACCCCCCAAAACTCATGTCCCTCTCACATACAAAATACAATCATTCCATCCCAATAGTTCCCAAAGTCTTAGCTTGTTCCAGCACCAACTTAAAGTTCAAAGTCCAAAGTCTCCCCTGAGACCGAAACTCCTTCCAGCTGTGAAAATGGAAAAATCAAAAGTAAATTTACCTACTGCTAAGACACAATGGTGGAACAGATGTTGGGTACACATTCCCATTCCAAAAGGGAGGAATAGGCCAGAAGAAAGGACAAACAGGTCCCAGACAAGTCTGAAACCCAGCAGGGCAGATATTAAGTCTTAAAGCTCCAAAATAATCTTCTTTGATTCCAAGTCCTGCGTCCTGGGCACAGTGGGGCATCTGGGCCACCAAAGCCTCAGGCAGCCTTGCTCCCACAGCTCTGCCAGGTGCCGCCCACTGCCTGCAGCTTTTCCAGGCCTGCATTGCACATTGTCAGTGGTCTTACAGTTCCATGGTTCTGGTGGCAGCCCTACTGCCTTGGCTCCACTAGACATTTCTCTGGTGGGGGCTCTCTGTGGGGGTTCCAACCTCACTTTTCTGCTTGGCTTGCTCTAGTAGACAGCCTCTGCAGTGGCTCTGCCCCTGAGCCAGTGCTCTGCCTGGTCCCTCAGGCTTTTCCATACATCCGCTGGAATCTGGGTGGAGGCTACCATGCCTCCACTGCTCTCACTTCCTACCAGCCAGCAGTTTTAACACAATGTGGATGCCACCGAAGTTTCAGGCTTGTGCTCTCCAGATCTTCTGCATGAACCTCACTTGGGGCTGCTTGAGGCAGGGCTGCTCCAGCCGGAGCAGCTGGGATGCAGGGAGCAGGTTCCTGAGGGCAGCTGTGCCCCAGGTCTGTCTTTTAGGACCAGTCCGTATTTCTAGGCCTCTGGGTCTGTGATGGGAGGGGTGCCTGTCCAGATTTCTCAAATGCTTTCAGGGCCTTTCTACCATTGTCTTGGCTATTAGCATCTGGCTGCCTTACCACCAAGCTAATGTCTTTAGCAACCAGTTTATCTGCTTCACCCTTGCATTCCTGCTCTCTGTTTCTCTACCACATGGACAGGCTGCAAATTTTCCAAATCTTTATGCTCTGCTTTCCTTTTAAATTCTTGCTTTACACCATGCCTTTTCTGCCAAAACTCAGCATAGTCTGTTAGAAGTAACCATGCAGGTTCCTTAATGCTTTGCTGTGTGGAAATTTCTTCTGCCAAACATTCTGGTTCACAACTCTTAAGTCCCACCTTCCACAAAGTCCAAGGGCATGACACAATGCAGCCAAGTTTCTTGCTATGGTGATGCAAGGGTAATATTTTGTCCAATTCCTGGTAAGTTCCTCATTTCTTTCTGAGACCTCATCATCAGCATGGCCATTACTGTCCACATTTCTGTCAACATTCTGGTCACAACCATTTAACCATTTAACTCTAAAATGTTCCAAACTTTCTCCCATCTTTTTGTCTTCTAAGTCCTCCAAACTCCTCCAACCTTTGCCTATTACCCAGTTCCAAAACTGCTTCCACATTTTCAGGTATATATTTATATATGGCAACACCCCACTCCTAGTACCAAAATCTATATTAGTCAAGGTTCTCCAGAGAGTCAGAATCAACAGGAAATGTTGTAAATATATGAGGAGGATTTATTAGGGGAATTAGCTCACATGATTGTGAAAAAAGGTCCCACGATAGGCTGTCTATAAACTGGATGCCGTAGTGTGGCTCACTCCAAGTCCAAAGGCCTCAAAACCAGGGAAGCTGATGGTGTCCTTGGTGTAAGTTCTGGAACCCAAAAGCTGAAGAGTCTCGAGCTCTGATGTCCACGGACAGGAGAGAAGAGTGCATCCCAGCTCCGCAGGTAGAGAGAGTTTCACATTTTGTTTTTTGTTCTCTCTGGACCCCCAGCGGATTGGATGGTTCCCACCCACATTGAGGGTGGGTCTTTCCCACCCAGGCCACTCAGACTCTCATACTAGTCTCTGCTGGAAACACCATCATGGACACACCAAAAAAGAGACATTTACCAGGTTTCTCAGCATTCCTTCATCTAACCTAGTTGACACCTAGAATTAACCTTCATAGGTACCCTCTGGCCCAGCCTGCCCATGGAACGGAAAACAGCAGAATGTGAAGACATATGTACTCGGGTATCTAGTGCATCATTTTCTCATTGTAGCAAAACACTGGGGCACGAAGTCACTGACTGCCAAAGGGTGGATAGCCAGGTAAATGTGTATCCACCATAAATATTTATGCAGCCATTGCAAAGAATGTAGTAGAGCTAGAAGAGTGGACTTGGAGAGGATTCCACAGTGTATCGTGACAATATGATACAAGATACAAAGTATACACAGATATGATTTAGTTTTTAGTTTTTAGATATTTGGCAAAAATATTCTTTATGTACGTGTATGTGATTATGTGATTATGCTGGTATCTGCAGAGGACTAAGTGAGCACAGAGGGTAAGATGAATGAGCACACACTAGGTGGTCATCAGTGGCCACTTGGAGGATCAGAGCTGCTCTGGAGAAGGAGGAGAGGGCAAAACGGAGAGCAGTGGAAAAGGAGAAAGAATAGCACTATAAAAGGCACAGATACGATGATATTTACACATTTTTGTAAATTGTGTGTATGTGTGCACGTATAAATAACTTCCAAGATTTAAATAACAAATATAAAAAGGGAGATGCATTATAGATCTTGGCTCAAATAGCTAGGTAGCTTCTGGTTATTCAAGACAGCTACTTGGTTATTATAAAGGGCCCACAGAGACTTCAGATGTAATTGAACCATTCTGACTAAAAAGACATAAGTACACTAGTCTGGGAATACTGATATGAATTCTCTTGGAGAACTTGAGTCTTTATGTGGCTGGCTTCCAAACTTTCCAGTTTCCTTCCTTGTGTGAGAGAGGAAATTCTCATGGGCTGTGCCAGCAGTCGCAGACTAGCAGCCTGTGTGCAGGAACTGTCCCATAGACAGGCTTTGTCTGAACTGCGTAATATTTAAAAAACTGGGAACTTTCATTAGGTTATACCTTATGAAATGTCCGTTTCTGTAGGTTAAAAAAAAATAGTTGAACACCAGTAATTACATATGTTCAACCTAACACTCAAAATTCTGAATTCCTGACTTTAAAGAACAAGGGTGGGCACTGTGTGCATTTGCCTATGGCATCCAGAAACTGGGTTCAAGCTGCCCTTTTTGGATGGAGGGCTCACCCTTCTGTGCTCTGGGTCCCTCTGTGCTCTGAGGCCATACTCCCGCCTGCTCCGTCCATTTTTGCTACCTGCCTGGCACGTAGCATTTGCCTTTGTGACCCACAGGCTGCCTCTGGTGTTCCCAGATGATGGCCTGGTCACTGACCTCTCAGAGCCTCAACGTTCCCATCTGTAAAGTGGAGGACCCTGCCCTGCTCATTCGGTCACAGTGAGGATCTGATGGACCTCATCTGTGAAACCACTGTGAACTCACAAATTATCATTTATTATACATTGCTAGGGAATTCTCACACATCATCCAGTTTTGACAAATGTAGGTTAGGCTTCTCTTTCCCCAGGCCTAGAGAATGCCCTGCCTGTGAGCACATGTCAGTCTCAACCTGATTTACTGAATGCTCACAGAGGCAAACCAGTGTGTCCTCAGTTCAAGTTCAGCTGAGTGTTTATGATATACAGGAAATTTTACATCCTTTTACTTATTTTAATACTTATAGAAATAATTTCATAATTATAGTCTCTAGTATGTGAGGAATCTGAGACACAGAGTTTAAGGAACTCACTCTAAGAAGCATAATTAGTGGGTGCTAGAGCTGTTTGGCCCCCTTAACTATTCTACACTCCTGTGACTCATCCTTGTTCCCCTACAGTACATAGCACAGAGCCTTGCACACAGTAGGTCCACAGTCTATGCTTACTGAGCAGGTGAACACATCAGAGGACTTTGTGGCTGCCACGTGGATGGTGAGGCACAATTCACAGCTATTTCCACAAGAGGGCAGTCGAGTTAAATGCAAAAGTACAGAACTGAGCATCCATTGTTTAAAATAGACAAACAAAAACATTTACTCCTGAAACAAGATGATTTTCTTTTTTGTAAGCAAGCATGTCTCGGAGCAAATTTTGGCTTAGGAAGGTCATGGGAAAAGTTAGGGGGTTGGTTTCCGGAGACCCAGCAGTAGTCAAGGATTTTCTTGACTGGACTTGGCAGCCCCAGACCTGGTGACTCCCACTGCGCAAAGTGGAAGGTTCAGCACCAGGGTTGCAAGATGAAATACAGGATGGCCATTTGCATCTGAACTTCAGTAAGCAAAGAGTCATTTTTCTAGTGTTAAGTGTGTTCCCAGTATTGTGTCAAGCATTTGAAGCCTGGGGAGATGGTAGGGCCCTCATGATCACCATTGGACATGGACTTGGAAAAGGATGGACTGGGGTGGGGGAAGAGCAAAGTGGGTGCTGGGAGGCGACTCTTGAGTTTGGAGGCTGCTGAACCGGTCTGGGTGAGAGATGATGTTGACTTGGACTAGAGTAGGTGATGGAGAGGGTGACTGAGAGATGGGGTAAATGGGAGAAATATTGACCAGCTGAAATCCACAGAACTTGGCGAAGGAAGAGGGAAAGGAAGAGTCCAGGATGGCTCCAAGGTCTGGTTTCTAGATGGATGGTTGAGGATGAGTTTGGAAAGGAAAAGCTGCAAATTTGATTTTGGAATATTAAATCTGAGCGATTTCTTTGGGAAATTTGAATGAAGAAGTAGCATAGGCAGTTGACTCACTTCCACGGGGCCACAGGAAGGCTGGAAACTTGTGGGCAGCTCACTGGCTAACCTGTCGTGAGTTCTTAATGTGCTGGTGATGATTTGCACTTGAACTTGGCTGTAGTGTTTGCTTACTTGAAGTAGGTCCTTTTGCCCTTGAAGCAGGCCACTGCTCACTGCACCTACTTGGCTGGTGACTTTTAAAAAGCCATGCTGTGACGGGGAGTAAGCTTCAGTAGTTCTCTGTACTCAGCCCCCATCTTTCACATTGTCCTTGCCCAACCACTAATCATGGAAATGCTAAGCAGGTTATAGGTAAAGGTCTTAAGAGTCTTCAAACAGGGCTGATCCATTACCAGGGCCTTAGGGATAAGAGTTAAAATTCAGGTAATTGGCTTCTTTATTAACCCTTGTCCTTACTTACTAAGCTCACTCAAACTTCTTAGTAAGAGTCTCATCTCAAATGCCTTATCCAGATTGTCCAGAGGGAAGGATGGGACTTCATATGTAGTCAAGGGGCATTGTAACAGGAACATGGAAGGGACTGTATGGAGAAATCCTCGTAAAAGAATCATCTGATTTCCCTCAAACAAGACACCTGGAGAGGTCAGTTATGTACCAGGCTTGAACTCACGGTTGATTGCAAGGCAGGATCCCTGACAGACCACGCTGCATTTAAGTGGTAGCCTCACCCTCCAGCCACCTGCTATTGTCTAAAGAACATTGGAAGTGAATCCGGGATACCTGGCCACTGGTCTCGGCTGGGTCATCTTGACCCAATCACATCACCTCTCTGAATCCCTATTTTCTCACTTGTCAAATGGGGATTTTTAAAGGGTTTTCGTGAGAATTAAATTAGTCAAAATATGGAGAGTGCTTAGTGTAGTGTCTGATTGTTTAATACATATTGCCTGTTATTATTTTTACAAATAGTAATTAATAGCAACCATCGTATGTGACTAGGCCAGGACTGGAATTCTGATATGTCTGGCTCCAGACCCTTAGCTCTTTCCACTACATACAGAATTGGCAAGGACCGTAAAGATGACAGCGCAGGTTGTCTGCCCCAGAGGTAAGCAGAAGACTGCCCTAGAGAGTCAAGGTGACAGTAGCTGGCCTTAGGATGGTCCTAGGAGCTGAGGATGGGATTATCGTCAATACGCAGGAAGAGGGGCTATCAAGAGTGAGCTCCATGCAAAAAGCACTGGTAGGTCCAGATACTAGGCAGTTTATAAGATCATAAACCCCAAGAGAGGGACTTTGATCATAAAGTGGCAGGATGAGGATGGCTCAAAGACCCTGGAGGTCATGTCTGCCTTGGGCTGAGACAGTAAGGTGGGCCTCTGGTTGAGCCGGCAGAGCATGGAACTAGAGTGATTTAAATTTCTCATGCCTCATGCTGGAATGCTTTTCAGAACCCACCTCAGGCCAACCAGGGGATTCATCAATGCATTTATCCAGCACATGTGTCTCCAACATCTATGAGATTCCAGGAAAAGCTAGGTGCTGGGCATACAGAGAAGAGTGTCAGAACATGGCCACATGCCTTGCAGAGTGTGGGTCGAGAGCCAGGTCCAGCCAAACACATGCTGGATAACATTACTGTCAGAGATAGACATCATGTGGTGCGTAAGACCAGGGTTTGAACCCAGTTCCACCACTAGTTCAAGAAGGTGGCCCACATACCTAATCTTCTTAACCTCTAAAAGTGGGATGAAAACAATACCAACTTCCTTTTAGGAGTGTTAAGTGGATTAAATGAGTCAATGTACATTATTTTTCAGATAGTCTTTTACAAAGTAGTATTCCGTAAGTGCAAGTAATGTTATACTACCGTTAGCACTTTCAGAATTTAATTACCCCAGATTCTAATGAATAAACTTTTTTTATATGCTCCCTATCAGTGGCACCTAGGTAAAGTGAGTTTTTAGTTTCTGTTATGCAACTCACTCTAAAATTTCTTTAAAGTTTTACCCACATACACACAATAACAGATCAACAACATGGGGGGGGGGAATAATCCATAATCCTATAGTGCTTTCATCGCTTTTGTTTTGCATATTAATTTTCATTCAATTTACCTAATACTTGTTGCAGCCCCATGTTCAGGCTCTGAGCAGTTCCTACACCATATATTGCCTTCCATACCAGTTCATTTACATAGTAGTAATTGCAGGGTACATGCATGCTGTTTTATATTTCACTCATTTTCATATATGCTTCCTTTTGGCTAGAATTTATAAGTATCATCCTCAACTGGAACATTTTATTCCGTTTGGGGATTTACTAAAATTTAGTTCTAATTTTCCCATTATTGGGTATCAAGATTATTTCCAATGTTTTGCTAGAATAGATTACATGGCAATAGATCTATTTGTGCAGAAAGCTACTGCTTCTATTAAGTTATTCTTTGGGGATATATTTCCAGACATAGCTGGAAACATGTTATGCTTGAACCTCATGTACTAGCGATACAGGGCATGAAAACAAATCTCCAATGTTGGGTACAGACGAAAAATTCCTCTCTGGTTGCTAAATCATTTCACATGAGAAGAACTCCTCAACATGGCTTTCTAAACCTTAGCTTTCTATTGTTCTGGAATGGAAAACCCAGCAATCAGCTCCTTATAGAAATACCCAGACCAGACATGATTAGGGGACACCTTTCCTCAGCTTATGAAAAGAAATGGATAACCCTTATTAGTTATGCCATATTGATCTTGTGTTTTTTCAACCATAGAACTGGAAAAGTTCCTTCTTAAGAATTTCCTACTATGGAGTCTGGCTTCTTTGCAAGCTCTTGGAAAGTTGTAAAGGGTGCTGAAGTCATTTGATCTCCCAAAATGAGATCATCTACAATGTACTATATGTTTGTAAAGCATACTTGGCCTTTAGTCTCTAGAGCTATATTCCAGTAAAGGAATCAGTTAATGCGCTGTTCATTACGCATTTCTGCCTGGCCCTGAGAGGCGCATGCATGGGCATAGATGGCTCAAATGCCAAGAGTGAGGAAAATGGCTAATTAGTAGATGACAGCTATGCACAGTGATATTTCACAAGGTCCAGCCTTTCTGGCCAGATAAAACCAGTTTAAAAAGAAATGTAGGAAGCATGGAGCAAATGGCATGAGATAAAAAAGCAGACATTCCTCTTCCCCAGGAGAGGACGTGGCCACATTGATTTCTATAGGAAAAGCTTGTGACGACTTGCCTTTTGTGAAATAGTGACCATAAATCTCATTCTTTTTCAGGTTTCCAGATGCATTTGTGACTTTCAGTTCCTTCCGGAGCAAGTTCCCTGACGTGTCTGGGTATTGTCACTGTGCTGACAGCCAAGGGCGGGAACTGGCTGAGACAGGTGAGTGAACACACCTCAGGCAATCTGAAGAAGGGGAGTGCAATTCACCAGGTATGAGAGTCTACCTGTACCTGTAATGAGGTATCATTACCTGTACAGCAGAAATAGCAGTGACTGCCTGCTGCTGTGGATATTGAAGAGGAAGTGGCCGTAGTGAACTTTTATCTGTGGTACTTTGAATGCAGCTACTGCTAGCTCAGTCCTATGGCCCCTTCGTGCATACTGGAAAGAGGCGCCCCCCTCTGGGCAGATACAGCTCCAAGCTTGGCGAGTGGAACACAGGATGGATTTCAGTGTTTTATCCTGTAGGCAATGCTCCTTTATGCTGCCAACAACCTGCACAACCATACATAGCAGCCCTGACTTTGGAAACTATCAAAGAATTGTTCAGACCCAATGCATAATGATGCTGTGAAGGTTCTGTCCCTCTTAATATCTGTTTGCACATGAAGGCCAGGGCTTCCTTTCTGAATGGGCCCAGCCCTGAAATGCTTGCCGTCTTTGCTCAGGTTTGGAGTTGTTACTGGATGAAATTTACGACACCATTTTTGCTGGCCTGGACCTTGCTTCCACCTTCACTGAAACCACACTGTACCGGATATTACAGAGACGGTTCCTAGCAGTTCAATTAGTCATCTCCGGCAGATTCCGATGTAAGTAATAAGCTGCCAACAGATGTGCCTGCTGCTGCTAGGGGGAAACCGCTTGGGTATTAAAGTTGCCACAGTCTCCATGGTTGTTCACCAGAGTGAGTGCAGAGATTTAAACAGTTCTAACAGCAAACAGCAACACACGTGGCAAACACATCAAGTGTTGTTGACACTTCCTTACCCTGTGGATTTCTTTTAGGCCCCACAAAATGTGAAGTAGAGCGGTTTACAGCAACCAACTTTGGTCACTCCTATATTCCGAGCTGCCACCGAAATGGGGACTACCGAGCAGTGCAGTGTCAAACAGAAGGGCCGTGCTGGTGTGTGGATGCCCAGGGGAAAGAGATCCATGGAACTCGGCGGCAAGGGGAGCTGCCGTCGTGTGGTGGGTTGCCTCCCAAGGGCTTTCTCTTTTGGTCCCCTCAGATCACATTTCTTTAACTGTTTCTCCAGACCCACCTCTCTAGAACCCATTAATTCAATTACCTACGGAGTGTGCCCCACAAGCCCTTCAAGATTAACATGACCGAAAACCAGTTTATCATCATTAACTCTAAACATGTGTCTCGTCTTGTGTCATTCCTAGTTGTTTTCTTAGGGAGCTCAGGGAATATTGGGGGACTCATAGGGTAAGAAAAAGAAAAGAGAATTGAGTTTACATGTGCCATGGGAGAAGCACGTACAATTAACTAGAGAGCATGGGGAGTGGGTATCAATTCTATTCTGCAGCATGTATGAGAAGGAGGCATTTAGGAAATCTTCATGGAAGAGGTGATGTTTGATCAGAGTCTTCTAAAATGAAGAGGTTTCCTGAAGGAAGAAAGTAAGGGAAGGAGTTCTCTAGATAGAAAGCAGGAGAGGCAAAGTTATAAGGACATGAATAATAGATATTGATATGCTAATGGACAGTTAATCTGCGAGAAGGATAGAGAAAAAATTGTTGGAGTATGAGCAGCGTAGTGCTCTGGCCTTTTAGACTGGGGAGAAAGGCAGCAGTGAGACAGTGCAGTCTTTCTTATCATAACCAAGTCTCTGGGGGCTTCATCCTGGAGGTCAGATGAAGATATTGAGAGATTTTAAGCTGGAGCACGCCGTGATGGGTTTGTGTGTAAGATGGACCACCCGGAAATTTTGGAGTAGAGTTTGAAAGGAGCATTAAACCTGAGGCAATGCGGCCAATCAGAAGGTCATTGTAATGTCCTGAAGAGAGTTGATAGGGACTATATTAGTTTCCTGGGGCTATTGTAATAAATCACCACAAACTGGGTAGCTTAGAACAACAGAAACCTCTTGTCTCACAGCTCTGGAAGCCAGAAGTCCAAAAGTAAGGTGGTGGCAGGTCTGTGCTCCCTCCCAAGACTCCAGGGAGCATCCTTTCTTGCTCTTCCTACCTGTGGTGGTTGCCAGCAATCCTCGCATTCTTTGGCTCGAGGAAGCACATAACTCCATTGTCACATGGCTGTCTTTCTCTATGTCTGTCTCTGTATCTTCTTTTTCAAAAAGAACCCCAGTCGTGTTGGATTAAGGGCTCTCCTAATCCAGTATGACCCCATTTTAACTAACTACATGTACAATGACCCTTTTTGCCAAATAAGGCCATAGTCTGAAGATCTTGGAAGAACATAAATTGTGGGGGATGCTATCTCCCTCAGTATGGGAACCAATTCTGAAGTAGGAGCAGTGAGCGGGGCAGAAGGGTGTAGGCTTGAGAACTATCACCAGGCATTTCATTAAGACCCCATTCCATCTTTCCAGTGAGACTTGGAAAGATGTTAGTGATGAGGGGTTGGGAGGATCCAGGAGCATTCACAGGCTTCCAGTTTGGGTGAGCTGGGTACCTTCTGAAAGATTTGAAACAGTGAAGGAGGAACACAAGTCTTTTTATAGTTTGAAAATAGGTACGTATCAGCACTCATTCAATAATTCCTGTTAAGTCATTTAATTTTTTCTGCTTAACATCTTGAATATTCTGCACAGTGTTTGGTAGTGTTTTAGGCAAAACACTACCAAACTAAGTATAAAGATGTCAAAAAGAAAATGTTGAGGCCCTGTCTTCAAGGCGTTTACAATCACATTTTGGTTCTATTAACACCCAGCAAACGCTATGCCCTCCGACTTCCAGGTGGAAATGAAGAACCAGGACTTTCCCAGTTGAATTCAATGGCTCTATCAAATGCATGAATGGGTCATATAATTTTACTTTTTTTCTCTGGCATATCAGTCCTGTTTCTGTGGAAACAAAGGTCCCATGGAAACAATATCTGAATTTCTTTGCCTTGGTAACACTACATAAACACATGGATGGGAGGGATAAGCTCTTAATTTGGAAAGCGAATAAGGAAAGCCAGGAGCATTATTTCTTCCATACCTTCCTGTGATATCCATTAAAGGCAGCCGTGGCCTTGCTGAGGGCTGTGTTATGTGGTCTGATGTTGCCAGTCTTTATTTTTTTTTTTTTCCTCCCCCTCTCACCACATGTTCCAGTTCTTTCTCTGTTGCCTGGTTACAGAGGGAAATTGGCTGACTTCCTTATTGGCATCCCTGTGAATCAAGAGGAAAAATTATTTTAAAAAGTTGGGGGTGGGGTAGGTCCTCTAAGATTTTTGGTTTTATGAAGAAAAACAGAGCTTGCTTATTTCCACCTGTGTGACTGAGACAGCCACTTGGCATTCGAATTTTACATTTTTTTCCTTAATGTGATTACAATCATGTTTAGATAGAATGACTTAACCATGCATGGAGTTGACTGAGTTAATCAGTGTTTAATTAGTAATTTCAAGGAAAGGTCAAGAAGCCCAGAAGAATATGCCTAAGTGTGTTTGCTAGGTGGGCATTTATTGTATTATTTTATAGGAAATATTATTCTTCCTGTATTATGTTACATATTACAATGTAGGAAAATATTTCATATTATAGGAAACACTAATAGCACTTAAGGTATGGCCGTGGTCCTCAAAGAGACTATCAGTTAATTAGCCTGGACAAGACTACCTAAAAGGAGAAATTAGACACCACAAAAAAAGTGTAGAGTGAAGGAAAGTCCTTTAAGAATTCTAACAACAGAAAGCTGGAAAACAAATAGGAATCTGCTGGTCTACTAGTTTCCTAGGGCTGCTGTAAATCACCACAGACTAGATGGCTTAAAACAACAGACATATAATCTCTCATAGCTCTGGAAGCCAGAAGTCTGAAATCAAGGTTTTGGCAGGGCCATGCTCCCTCCGGATGCCCTGGGGAGAATCCTTCCTTGCCCCTTCTAGCTCCTGGTGGTTGCTGGCACTACTTGGTGTTCTTTGGCTTGTGGCCGCACTGCCTCAGTCTGTGCCTCTGTCCTCACATGGCCATCTTTTCTGTGTGTCTTTCCGTGTTTTCACTTGGTCTTCCTGTAAGGACACTGGTTATTGGATTTAGGGCCTACTCTAATGCAGTGTGACACCATCTTAACTTGATTACATCTGCAAAGAACCTATTTCTAAATAAGGCCACATTTTGAGTTTCTAAGTAGACACAAAGTTTGGGGTGGGGAGAGTGCAGGGCAGGGGAGAAGTATTCAACCCAGTACATTTGCTGAATGTGGTCAGATTTTCAGGAAACAGGCCAGTTTCTATGATACTTGCTTTAGAAGGGGATCAGTCTCTAGTAAATTCTGCGAGAGTGGTCATGTCAACTGGAATAGTCAATCCCCAAAAATGGCCCCCACAGAGGCAGCTCAGAGGGAAAGGAAAAAATTTTAAAAGTACTGAGAAGAAAGTGATCCAAAAGGTGTCCTCTGTTGGATTGTTTGGCATCTTACAACCAGAAAGATCTGATGGGTTGTCTCAAGATTGCTTGTGATGTTCAAACCATTTCTCTCCTTTTGCTTTGTCTCATGCAGCTGAAGACCAATCCTGTGCCTCAGAAAGGCAGCAGGCCTTGTCCACACTCTACTTTGGAGCCTCACGCTACTTCAGCCAACATGACCTGTTCTCCTATCTTAACGAAAGACGGGCCTCTAGGAGAATAGCCACATTTGCCATGTCCTGCCCACCCACGATCAAGGAGCTCTTTGTTGACTCTGGGCTCCTGCACCCAGTGGTGGAAGGGCAGGACCAGCAGCTTCCTGCCACAGAAAGCCTCCTCAGAGAAGCCATCCGAGCAATTTTTCCCTCCCGAGAGCTGGCTCGTCTGGCCCTTCAGTTTACCACCAACCCAAAGAGACTCCAGCAAAACCTCTTTGGAGGGAAATTTTTGGTGAATGTTGGACAGTTTAACTTGTCTGGAGCCATTGGCACAAGAGGCACATTTAACTTTAGTCATTATTTCCAGCAACTTGGTCTCCCAGGCTTCCAAAATAGAGGGAGACTAGAAGATCCAGCCAAGGTGCTCTCTGTGGGATTGGATTCAAATCCTACCACGGAAACTCCTGAAGCCTCTAAGAAGGATGTTGCTATGAATAAGCCAATTATGAGCAGCTTTGGCTTTGAAATCAACTTACAAGAGAACCAAAATGCTCTACAATTCCTTGCTTCTCTCTTGGAGCTTCCAGAATTTCTTCTTTTCCTGCAGCATGCTATTTCCGTGCCAGAAGATATAGCAAGGGATTTAGGTGATGTGATGGAAATGGTTCTCAGTTCCCAGGCCTGTGAGCAGACACCTGGAAGGCTTTTTGTCCCATCATGCACAGTGGAAGGAAGTTATGAGCATGTCCAGTGCTTTGCTGGAGAGTGCTGGTGTGTGGATTCCCAGGGCAAAGAACTTCCTGGCTCGAGAGTCAGAGGTGGACAACCGAGGTGCCCCACAGAGTGTGAAAAGCAAAGGTCTCGCATGCAAAGCCTCATGGGTAGCCAGCCTGCTGGGTCCAGCTGGTTTGTCCCTTCCTGTACTAGTGAGGGACGTTTCCTACCGGTCCAGTGCTTCAACTCAGAGTGCTACTGTGTTGACGCTGAGGGTCAGGCTATTCCTGGAACTCAAAGCAAAATTGGTGAACCCAAGCAATGTAAGTCTGTTGGATATTCAATCTGTAGACACTCTGAGTCTCTCTAGGCCTTGCCCCAATGCATTACAGAAAAAGAATCCACTCATGGCTAAAGCACAAACTTCAGTTAATGCCAAAATTAGCTGCTTAAATTAAAAATTATCCAGAAAAGCCTGGATACTGTTAACCATTCTAATGCATGAATCGGAAGATTTGTGTGAGCCTTATAGAACTGCCACATACATTTCTGTAGTGCAGGTCAACAGATGGTTTCAATGGTGCTGATTTAGTCATGCGGTATTCTCTGTCTAGATGTTATTTACAAATTTAGAGTTGAAAGGATTGGAGTTCTATGGCTGTAGAAGGTTTTAGGTGGAGTTTGCACAGTTAAGTGGTTTCATCATGGTCTTTCTGGCTTATCACATTTTTTAAACTGAAGTACCTGTTTACTGTTCCTCCCCAGGCCCCACACCTTGTCAGTTACAGGCTGAGCAAGCATTTCTTGGAACAGTGCAGACTCTGCTCTTGAATGGCAGCACAGCACCTGCCCTCTCCAGCATCTACATCCCCCAATGCAGTGCCAATGGGCAGTGGAGACGGGTGCAATGTGATGGGCCCCCCGAGCAGGTCTTCGAGTGGTACGAACGATGGGGGGCTCAGAGCAAGGATGGCCAGGAGCTGAGCCCTGCCGATCTGCTAATGAAGATCATGACCTACAGAGAAGCAGCTTCTGGAAACTTCCATCTTTTTATTCAAAGTCTATATGAGGCTGGCCAACAAGGCATTTTCCCGGTGCTGGCTCAATACCCTTCTCCCCAAGATGTCCCACAGGCAGTGCTGGAAGGAAGCCTGACTCAGCCTGGAGGGAATGTCCTCCTGGAGCCCTACCTCTTTTGGCAGATCCTAAATGGCCAGCTCAGCCGATACCCAGGGCCCTACTCAGACTTCAGCACTCCTCTGGCACACTTTGACCGTCGGAGCTGCTGGTGTGTGGACGAGGCTGGGCAAGAGCTGGGAGGAACGCGGGCTGAGCCAAGCAAGGTCCCAGCATGTGAGTCAACTCATGTGAAGAACTGAATGGGTGTTTCTTAGAGCAAGGACATCTGGTGGGAGGGAATTGAGTGTCAAAGCTGGGATGGAGTTTAGAGGTGGCCAGGTACATCCCTTCAGTGTATGGCTAAGAAAACCAAGGCTCAGAGAGAGGAAGTGACTTCCACACATGTATGCAGTCAGGTGTTGGCAAGATTAATAGAGTACATTTAAAATTTTTCATATAATTGAGTATTTAACTCATTGCCTTTGATTTTCACTGGATGTCTTCTGTGTATGAAGCATTGTCTTAGAGCCAGTGAATGCTATAAAAGTGAATATGACCTGGTCCTTGTCCTCCTATGGCTAATGCTTTAATAATCTCTCACATGTTAGGTGTTGATTAATCGACAAGGATAATGGCCATCCTGCTACTTGCATAGAACACTGCCAGGTGTTCAGGACTTCAGGAAAAGTGCCACTTAAAGTGCCTTTAATTTACTCTGAGAGATTTAATTAAGGGACTAATTGAAGAGCCGCTGATAGAGGTCTGTAAGGGCAGCTTTGTGGTGGGCAGACTTATAGGAAAGTTGTGGTATATAAGGCATAAAAAGAATGACCTGAATCTGCATCTTAAATTGAAATGCCTTATTCCCAAATAGCCATGCCAGAGGTTGGAAAGAACAAGCAGGCAGATTCAACACTGTTATTATCAAATCAGAATCTCTCTATCCAGCAGTTGCAAGTATAGGAATATTATGGCTGTTCAATTTCAATGAAATCTCTTAATTTATTCTTTGAAATGTTTAACATTGTCTGGACCATTCTGGATATATTCAAACTATTTTGATATTAGCCAAACTTTAGGCTTTACCAGCAAATGGGTTTTTAGAATGTTGGGTGAATGACCATGTGATGAGGACAGTAATACCCTTTGCATTTTGAACAGCCCAGAGACAACATGACCGGGATTCTGCATTAAAGTGTCAAGTTCTAGCAACTGAACCCTCAAAGTCAGCACATGATGCTGGCATGACTGTTATATAAGAAGTCTTAGTTATTTTTGTGAGAACCGTGGAATCATTCCCCATACCAATGGTCAGTTTTCCTACATGGGATGTTCCTACAGTTTTATATACTCTGAAACTAAATTTGGTCCTCTCTGCATGCAATTTTAGGGGCCTGAGTTGTTGATACCAAAAGTAACTAGTAACTTTAGTGACTAGTCTTATTCACCTTGGTCTGAATGCAGGGCACAGCGTCAGATCTTGGCTTAGAGCTTTTTCATTGAGTAACAGGAGGCCGTGTAGAGTAGACAGCTGGGTGCACTAGGTAATTCATTAGGAAGCAAATATTAGAACTTCCATCTATAATCAGTATTTTATCTCTTCCTTGTACATTTCTATTTTTGTTTTTGCACTTAGGTGTTCACAATTGAAACAGCTGAGAAAATTGTGTGTAGTATATTATAGTGGTACGTGTATATGGTTTATATATAAAGAAATACCCATACCTTGGGGGTGCATATTCAAACTCTTTTGTTGATAAGGGTATGGGATTAAAATGGTTTGGTGACTATTGGTTCAGAGCCTTGATACTCAAAGTGTGATCTGGCAGCCTCAGCATCACCTTGGGAACTTGTTAGAGATTCATGGTCTCAGGCCCCACGTGCTGAATCAAAACCTGTGTCTCTACAATATTCCCAGGTGAATCTAAAGCACGCGAATGCTTGAAAAGGACTGGCCTACGGACAGGGCACTAGTTGTCTGGAATCCTGTCTCTGCCACCTACCACTGTGAGCTAGAGGAGGGAAACTCCTCTGAATCCTAGTTTCATCTGTAAAATCTGAGTTATAATAAATAACTACCTTAAAGGGTAGCTGTGAGGTTTCTAAGAGAGAATAGATGTAAGTGCCAGGCCTGGTACACAGGAAGCACTTAATAAGTGATAGCAGGAGTAATTCAATTGATAGTAATGAAGGGACTAATAACCTCCTACAAGCATGCGGGGGTGACGGCTCAGGCCTTTATGAGTCCACATTGCCGTCTCTGGCCTGTTTGCAATATCGCTTTCTTCATTTCACATGCATTTAAGCACTGTGTGCACTGTGCTGTGTGATGGGGAGACAGTCATGAAAAGAGTGGTGGCTGCCCTGAGATGCTCAGAGACCTGTGGGGGAAACTGACATGGTGTCAGGTAGATAGCAAAGGACAGTGGTGGAAGGGAAGCACATATACCAAAAATGCAATGGACGATGCCCAGACAGCAGCGCTCCCAGCTGACTGCCGACTTCTGTGATGGAGCTTGAGGGGTGTTTGTTCAGCATAAAGGCGTAGCGGATCCTTCCTAAATAGCATGTGCCAAGTAGAGAAGCTGTAAGGGAGTCTATTTCATTGGGGGTGAGGAGGGGAAAAGTTGGGTGTGGTAGGAAGCAAGGGACTTAGGAGAAGAGGTGGAAGGTAAATTGGGGTCAGATTTTCAAAGATCTTATGAGCTCAGTTAAGGAATTCCCACTTTATCCTGGAAGCGATGTACAGTGAGCAGAAGTTTTTAAATGTGAGTTTTGTTTCAGAGATTCCAAATCCCCGGGATTAATAGAATAGATTATTCGATCAATAATATCCATTTGAACAAGAAAACAGTCTTCAGATTCTAGAGGTCGGAGGTTTCTGATGATCTCATGCTCACAAAAGAATCCGCCAAACACCCTCACTGTTGATTTCACAATGTGTTTGAAATAAATATGGTGAGAGTGGCTTTTGCTAATAGTGACAATTAAAAAGACAGCATGTGCCAGACTCTGTTCCAAGAACTTCAGCCGCAGCACCTCATAGAAACATTACCAAAGCCCATGGAGTGCTGCCCCGATTTTCCTCATTGCACACATCGGAAGACTGAAGCTCAGAGCAGTTAGGCACTTTATCCACAGTTACACAGCTAAGACATGACCAAACAGTTGAACCCAGGGGGTTCTGAGAACCATGCTCTTTCCTCTTCACTGTCTACTAACGTACAGTGCCTCCCTTCAGCTTTTGATATCTATTCACCCACCCACCCTCCCATCCATCCATCCATCCATCCATCCATCCATCCATCCATCCATCCATCCATCCATCCATCCATCCATCCATCCATCCATCCATCCATCCATCCATCCATCCATCCATCCATCCATCCATCCATCCATCCATCCATCCATCCATCCATCCATCCATCCATCCATCCATCCATCCATCCATCCATCCATCCATCCATCCATCCATCCATCCATCCATCCATCCATCCATCCATCCATCCATCCATCCATCCATCCATCCATCCATCCATCCATCCATCCATCCATCCATCCATCCATCCATCCATCCATCCATCCATCCATCCATCCATCCATCCATCCATCCATCCATCCATCCATCCATCCATCCATCCATCCATCCATCCATCCATCCATCCATCCATCCATCCATCCATCCATCCATCCATCATCTGCCCATCCTTTCATTAGAGACAGCTGGTCAAGATCACTGTTTCTAGATTGGAATTCTGAATCAACTACTTGCTAGCTGGGAGCTTAAGTTCTATGAGTTCTTCATGCCTCAGTTTCTCATTCGTAATATGGAGATAAGAATATACTATTGGACTGTTGCATAGATTTAATTAGATTTTCTGTGCAAATGGGTTTACTATGATTCCTGGCATGGAGTAAGCATTTAGTCTTATGTAGTAGGTTGTCCACAAATGTTGAGTGAATTAAACTGTGAAGGCAAAACAGAAAGAATATTCCAGGTTGTGGAAAGAGCGGATGAGAAGGAAATAGCTGAGGCAGAAGTGTGTGTGGTGTGTGTGGGAGGGGTGATGTGTGTGTAGGAGTATGGTGGTGTGTGTGTGGAGTGTGTGTGATGTGTCTGCATGGTGTGTATGGTGTGTGTATGTGTGTGGTGTACGTGCAAGTGTATGGTGGGCTGTGTGTGGTGTGAGTGTATGGTGTGTGTATGTATATGGTGGGGTGTGTGTGGTTTATGTGTACAGTGGGGTGTGGGGTGTGTGTATGTGTATGGTGGGAAGTGGTGTGTGTACACATACAGTGGGGTATGGGGTGTGTGTATACGTATGGTTATGTGTGTATGTGTATGGTGGGATGTGGTATGTGTACGTGTAGAGTGGGGTGTGGTGTGTGTGCATGTGTATAGTGGTGTGTGTATGTATATGGTAGTGTGTCTGGTGTGTGTGTGTATGTATACAGTGGAGTGTGGTGTGTGTGTATGCATACGATGGGGTGTGGTGTGTGTGTACATGTATGTTGGGGTGTGAGTTGTGTATGTGTATGGTGGGGTGTGGTGTGTGTGTATGCATAGGGTGGGGTGTGGCGTGTATACATGTACGGTGCGGTGTGTGGTGTGTGTGTACACATACAGTGTGGTATGTGTGTGTACGTGTATGGTGGTGTATGTGGTGTGTGTACACATACACTGGGGTGTGTGTGTATCTGTACAGTGGGGTGTGGCGTGTGTGTGTATGCATACATTGGGGTGTGTGTATGCATACACTGGGGTGTGTGTGTGTACGTGTACAGTGGTGTGTGTGGCATGTGTGTGCATGCACTGGGGTGTGGCGTGTGTGTGTGTATGGTGGTGTGTGTGTGTGTACACATACACTGGGGTATGTGTGTGTACGTGTACAGTGGTGTGTGTGGCGTGTGTGTGCATGCACTGGGTGTGGCATGTGTATGTGTACGGTGGTGTGTGTCGTGTGTGCACGCATGCACTTCAGCGCACGTCAGCGGTCCATGGTGTTGCTGCCTCGCTAGGTCCTGGCTCCTGTGAGGAAGTGAAGCTTCGCACCCTACGGTTTATTCAGGAAGCGGAAGCAGTGGCCTCGGTTTCCAGAGGGTCCCTGTTCCCACCAGCCCAGCGCTTCCTGCGAGGTGGCGATGATGCGGCCTGGGCAGGTGAGTGTCACACCCTTCACATGTCGGCTCTCTGGGGATGTGAGCGCTCACGTCACTCTCCCCTCGGTCACCTTTAGGACTGTGCTGCTTGGTTTCCCCGGGGGGGGGAAGATCCCCAGGAAGGAAAAGAGGAAGCGGTCTGTGCCAGGCCTGCTTGTCACAGTGCGAGGGACCTCGCCCCACAAGCTCTGCAGCCCTCACGCTCCCTCGGTTCCCGGGAACACCATGCAGCGGGAAGGGCAGGACCCTCATTATTGGGGAGCTGTGACATGGGGGCGGTCTCACCCATCACCCAGTCCCGAGAGGAACTCCACAAGGCACAAGTATTGTCAGCAGGCCCACGCCTGCTGCCTGCCCTGAACACAAGCCCGAGCTTGGTTTGCCAAAATCTGTTACCCCAGGGCATTCACCTTCTGGCTCAGGCTTGTAAAAATCTTGTTGGTGAACCCAAATCCAGCTTCCTGATCCAGCCAAAAAAAAAAAACACTCAAAAGTCAAATGTGGGTGAGAATGGACGTCAGCTTTCGTTCAGGAATACCAATGACCTGAGGAGGATGATGGGCTGACCCACCTCTCCGGTAAACCTGAAAGAGAGTGGCCAGGTTAAGCCCATCTGAAAGACTCAAATGTACCGAGGGGGTTTTAAAGAGGGGGCTGAGGGAATGGAACGTGGGAAGTGAAAAGCAGGAGGGAGGGGACATGAGCTGCGGGGGCTCCGTGCAGGGAGCCAGGTGCAAGGTCTCACCAAGGCTCCGTTTGGCTTCTGTTCCCAACCTTGCTGTTATCTTAGGGTCCTGCTGGAGGGATGGAATCAGCGGAGTTGTACTGATGTCTTCCTTGGTTTCTCATGGTCTGGATAGTACGTGTCTTGCGGCAAGTTTGCAACCCCAGGCCGACTGGAAAACAGCTTTGCGTTTATGTAGACCTTGTCATCTTGCCCCATAACCAAGGTTCAAAATACCAAATAACATAGGGAAAGAGAGAACTCAGAGAAATGCTTGCTCAGAAAAAACAAAAACAAACCTGTCTCCTTTTTTTTTGGAAAGCCAGGCAATTTTAGGTCCCAACATGGCTTCAGTACTGCTTACTCCAATATTATCACCTGCATATGATAGAGGAATAGGCTCAGATAGCCACAATCCAGTAGGCCATAATAACAGCTGAACACTACTTGAAACTTACCTTTGACCAGGCACTTACTGTGCTAAGTAGATGACCAGATCTTTGCATTTAATCCTCTAACAGTTCCAGGAGAACATTGCTATAATCACTATCCGTGATGCTTTACAAATGGGAAACTGAATCTGGAGTTAAGCCACTTTCCCAGGTTCACCCAATTAGTAACTAGTGGAACCAGGATAGGAAGCCCAGTGGTCTGGTCCTCCAGCCCATGCTCTTAGTGCCTCTGTGCCCTGCCCGGCTCACTCCAGGCGCTGCTGGGGTTGGTGCCCAGATCTGTCTCATCCTAGAGCTCTTGCCCTTTCTCCACCACCCCGCAGCCTGTGCTGGCAGCAGGTCCAGTCCCCTCCCAGTTCCCTCACTGACCCTACACCAATTTGGCAAGGACAAGTGCTTCACATGTCTCCGAGCCTTACCTGAGTTGAGTTCCCATCCCTTTCAACTTGTCTCAGCTGATTCCTTTTCTGGAGTTTTCTGGGCTTGGGTACAAAACTGCAAAGCAGTCCTGCCCCAGATAACATCTGTTACCAAGTCAAAGAGAATCCACTCCAGAAGGCCAGCACCTCCCTGGGATGTCTGCCGCTGGCTTGGATCTGGGTCTTGGTTTTCTCCTAACTCCATGTGAGAATCTCCCAGGTACTGTCTTTGTTTCCTGCCCGTCTCCCTCACCAGACTTCTCCTTTGAAGGACAAGGCACCATGCCTCATTCATCTTTGTCTCCCTGGTGCCTAGCATGGCACCTGACACATGGTAGGAGATCAGCCAAAGGCAGTGAACCATCCCGTCCTTCCTTCCTCTCTCTTTCTTCCTCTTCCAACTAATACCCTCGCCCAACTTCCAGGCATCTTTTTGCTCTGTTCCTCAGAGATTTGGGGACTTCTGCTTTTGACAAGAAACCAGTTTTAAATTGTGTGCCATGGACAGGATTTGATATCATCAAAGAGATAAGTGGGATTGATGCCCCTTCAGTCATGAGCACTTTGCTCAGGGAGAGATATGTAGAGGAAGGGGAGAGAATGTTGCTGGTGCTGTGGAGACTGATCAGTGAATGTAGCATGACAGCATTTTCTTCAGAAGTCAAGCTGAGGAAGTTCCTCTCCAACTAGTCACATTCTCTGATTTTGCATGTCTGAGGCTGTAGAGAAAAGAGGAAGTTTCCACAGAGAAGGCCCAGGGCTGCTCTTTTCCCTGGGAGTCTGGGGATTGAGCTCCCAGAATAAGAAGAGATTGAGGGCCACAAAGTGTCTTTGGCCAATGGAACATGGCAGTGATGTCATAATGAGGTGTGAGAGGGATACAGGAGTAAATGCACTTAGCTGTCCCTGGCATGAGCGTGGTGCTTAATGTCTGTCGGCTCTTTCGATATAAATATCACACTTACCCTGTTAGGTAAGTATTGAACCCCTTCCATAGTTGGAAACTCAGACTCATAGTGGTTGGGTATCTTTCTAATGACCACACAGCTAAGAGGTGCAGCACCAGGATTCAGGCAAGGCTTATCAGACTCCAGAGCCCTGTCCACTGTACCAGCCTGCCTAAAAGGTGGATCCTGGTGTCCCCAGATGGGTTCTGACTGTGGGCTGGTGGTATCGTTATGGCTGCAAGCTTTCCCTTCTGGAGCCACAAAGCCCATTTCTGAAGAGTTGAGGAGTTGGAGAGAACTGCCCCAGGGTGTAGCAGGTGACTGCTACCTGGGCTACCCCAGATCCCTAAGAGCAACCTCACCCCATCCCACCCCAAGCACCAGGAAGAATGGAGGAGACTGGAGGTACGACTCAAAAAAATTCCGGGAGACATTGCATGGCCCCCCTAGCAGGAGAGTGGCAGTGGGGCAAATCAGCCTGGGGACTGTGAGGCCCAGACCCACTGGCGCTGTGTCCTGACCACTGGCGTCCTCTCTCTCCCACTCCCGCGTCATGCATGCATTCAGCCTTTTCTTCCCCCTTAATTATTTCTTGAGTGCCTACTTTGAGCCAGGCAGTGCTCTATCTACAAAATAAATATGAATCCCTGCACCAAAGAGCTTCACTGCAATCACGGGAGGCACAAACCTAAACAACATAAACACGTACAACAGTGTGTCAGTGGTGGAGAAGGCCATGCAGAAAATCCTAGCGGGGCAGGGGTGCTGAGAGCTGCGAATGGGGTGCAGTTTCATTAGCAGGGCGCCCATGGGTTCATCACGTAACCTCCCACACTGAGCCAGTTTCCTCATGGTGGTAAAGATCCTGACTTCACGGAGCTGCTGTGAAGGTCACATCAGACTGTGTGAATAACAGTGCCCTGCAGGGAGTAAAGAACTAAATGTAAGAGTTTGGCAGGGAAGGCTAAGAGGATAGCCTCTCTGCTTCCTAGCTGTGAGACCCTGGCTAAGTTGCTTAATCCATCTGTGCCTCAGTTTTCTCCTCCGTTAAATGGGATTATATTACCTCTTTTGTAGGGTTGTTGTGAGGATTAAATTAATGTATGTGTTTAGATAGAGTCTGACAAATAACAAATGCCTGTGAATCTTATCTATCACTACTGTTATTTTGTGTGCCCGAAGACACTTCATTGACCTAGCCAATTCTCTCTGGAAGTTACTGTAGGGGACTACAAGGAATTTTTCAACCTTCAGCCTGTTTTATTTTTAAAGGAAAATCTGTTAAGTCCCTACCATTGTTCAAGGAACCTGTGTAATATTTGGGGTTGAAATGTTTGTCAAATAAAGAGGCCTGCTTATGTTGGAACAGGGTTTGGTTGTTTTCAGCGACGGAGCCCACACCGGGCAGGTGTTCACACTCTGCTCTGCTCTTTCCCCGACTCCAGCCTTGAACTTCTATCAGAGACGCAGCTTTTCCCAGGGCGATTTGGCTGACACATCTGCCCTTTTGCGGTCGGGCCCCTACGTGCCTCAGTGTGATGCCTTTGGAAGCTGGGAGCCTGTGCAGTGCCATGCGGGGACTGGTAAGGGGGATGGGCACCCTCAGGAGGCCAAGGGGCACCCCTGCTTTCTATGTGGAGGAAAGAGCCCCATGCTGGAGGCAAGTGAGCTGGATTCTTGCACCCTCCTTTGGCAGCTGGCAACAAACCCTTTAGTTTCTCTGGCCTCCAGTGTCTCATCTGTGTAACAGGAGCAGTGACCTTCATCCAGCCTGAAGGTCAAGTGGGAGCTTGGGGCATCAGGATCTAAGGACTGAGACTGTGGGCAATGTTGGGAGCTGACTCAGGGGTCAGACAGGCAAGATTGCTGGCACCACTATGAATGCAAGGAAATTGTTTATGGGACACTCAGTAGCGAGTCCCCAGTGCACTTCCTGAACTTCTGGCCCGGGTCTCTCTTCTAGGGCGCTGCTGGTGTGTGGATGGGAAGGGAGAGCTCGTCCCTGCATCACTGACTGCCCGCTCCCCACAGATGCCCCAGTGTAAGTGATGCCCACGGAACTCTCCCACCTGGCCCCCAGTGGCAGGCACTCCAGGCTGGTAGAGCCGACCAGTGGGGTTACTCAACCGCAGGAGGCTCCGTGGCCCTTCAGAACAGCCCCAGTGCAGCCAGCCACATGTTCCCAAGTCCCCAGGCCTGGAGGCTCGCAGTGCCCTTGGCCCTTCTTAACTGGTGCTCCCAGGTCCCAGGTGAAGGAAACAGCTGAGAGCAGCGAGGGAGCCTGGTTCTCCTCCCACCTGCACTCGCTCCCTGGCAGCTTCAGCCACTCCTGCAGTTTCAACAGCCACCTCCCATCTGTACCTCCAGCCCCCAACCCTCTCCTGAGGTTCAGTCCTGTGTGGTCAATGGCCCACCTGACATCTCAAAGCTGGCATGTCCCGTGTACCTCTGTCCTTGAACTTCAGCCTGCTTCTCCTCTGAGAGAAGAAACAGTTCCGGCTCTCTGTGGTGGGCATCTCCATGCACCTAGATGCATGGCTCTGAAAGTAGGGGTCAGCCTGGGCTCCCCACTTCCCTTTGCCAGTCCATTAAGAGCATCCTATCTCTCCCACAGGCCCCACGACCTGTGAGAAATATCAAGCCAGTGGGCTGCTTTCCAGTTGGAAACAGGCTGGATCCCAGGGAAACCCATCCCCAAAAGACCTGTTCATCCCAACCTGCCTAGAGGTAAGGCTCTGAATATCCAGGAAGGGTGTGAGAAGGGAAGCCAGAACTTGCCCCGTCTGGTTGAAGATGACTTTTCTAGTTTTTGGTACATTTGGATTAGCTAAAAACTCACAGTGAGTTTTCAACCTGCATGTTTGTCCTGGGCCTGGTAGACCCTGGCTGTGACCTTGCTCAACTTACTTGGTCTCTGGGCTCCAGTTGGTTTTCTTAAATCATAAGATCAGGCCGTATTTTTGTCCTATCTAGGGCTAGGGTTATTTTAAGGCTCCAAGGAAATATCTTTCATGAAAACTGTTTGGAGAATAATTGACATACAGTTGCTACCATGTTTTTCCCAAAGTCATCTTGGCTGGGTCAGTAAGCTCACCCTGTCTCAGGTTCCCAACATACGTGGATGATATCGTATCGCCCTCCCCAGCTCCCTGGATGATTGTAATGACTCAGTGAAGTACTGATGTAAAAGCTCCTAGAGAAAGGATTTATGCCTGGAATCTTAACCACTTAATTGCCAAGTGATGGAAGTCTCTGGGCCTCAGTTTCCTTTCCCTAAAATAGGGATGATAGAAATACCACCACCTGCTCTGCTCCTGGGGGCTTTATGAAAAGCAGATAAAATCAGCAATGAATATGCTCATGGAACTATAAAGTGCTGAGCAAAAGTTTCCTTATTGTTTGGTGCAAGAAACGTGAACCCCAATTATGGATTAGACAAATTAGCCAGTTTTTAGACAAATTAACCAGTATTATTTAGTCTTTTATCTTGGCTGACAACCACCTACTGTTGAAGTACAAACCTACCCCATTGTCCCGGACACCGATGCTCCCTCCCGGAGAAGGAGAGGTAGAAACCACAGCTTCTGAGGGAGGGAAAAGTGATTCCAGAACAGGGCCTGGGGGCTCTGATTGCGTGGTTCTCAGGCCGGCTTCTGTGGGGGACCCTGGTGCCGGGAGACAGCCCCTAAGACTCCCACTGCCCAAACCCAATGCTTAAGTCATTGGCCCAACTTACCAGGAAAAATCAATTTCACAGCTAGAATGTTCCCAATTTTAAGTCTTTATCCCATAAAAAATTCTTTGCTTGGGTTTGAATCTCACCTCCGTAGCCTACAATCTGTGTGATCAGAGGCACATCACCACCTCTCTGGGCCTGTCTGTGTGATGAGGACAGGCAGGCCCCTGCCTCCTGAGGTACTGTGTGGACTGAATGACACACTCGGGGTGGGAGTGATTAGCATGGGGTGAGCCCCACCATCATGTTCTCTGCAAATATTGGATGTTGTTATTATTGTCACTGCTCCTCTGTGGACAAGGCACAGCAGATTATAAAATGAGCAAGTGGTAAACAAGTACTAAAGGAAACACTTGGCAGGGGCCGGGAAGCTCCAGCCACTGCCTTTCTCCGGCATCACTGCTGTGCTTCTCCTGTTCTGTTACCATTGTAGGAGAGGACGTTTCCCACCACCAAAAACATTTAGAGAAGGGATATGCTCAAGGACTGATCTAGTCCCTTCCTTGTTTTCTAAATGGAGAAACTGAGGCCAGAGAGTTGAAGTGGCATGCCAGCCCTCCCCAGCTAGCCTGGGACAGGACAGAAAGGGAGGCACTGTCACCGATGGAATTCTATTCTTTGGGACCTGGCCAGACACTGGGTTCAGTTAGCCGCCTTGTACTGTTTCTTTGTTCCCTGTTATGGCTGCTTAGGGCCTTCTCCTAGGGCTGCTTGTTGAAATCATTTGTGGAATTGGTTGGGTAGGTTCAGGAGAGTGGCAAGGTTTTGGGGCTGGATGGGTTTGGGTCCTGGCCTAGACCTGCCACTCACCAGCTGTGGGGTGCTGCTTTGTTACTTTCCCTCTCCGAGGGAGCTTTGGTTTCCACCACCCTAAAATGGGGTAACCATGGTCCTTGCCATCAATTCCAACAGTGTATGTGAGGGTTGGAAACAGGGTAGCACTTCTCTACCTGTGCCCCTCCCCCACCTCTCTTCAGAGAAGCCATCACCGGTCATCACCTGTTGCTCTGGAAGGGACATTCTTTACATCCACCCAACGACAGGTCAGCAGCAAAAGCATCTGCCTGTGACAGCTGACATGACCTGGGCTTTGTCTCAGACAGGCGAGTTTGCCCTGCTGCAGGCGTCGGGGGCCGGTGCCTGGTGCGTGGACGCGGTATCAGGAGAAGCGACACTGCCTGGTACCAACCTCAGCGCCCAGTGTGAGTAGCTGACCCTCCCTCCATCGCCCCCCAGACCCTTCCAGGTGAGCACTGGGGGTAGAGTCCTGAGGGCTGCCTTCACGTCCCAGCTCTGCTGCTTCCATAGCTCTGAGGCACAGCCACTGACCTCCCAGTGCCTCAGTTTTCCCACTTATAATATGGGGGCAATAATCCCCTGGCTCAGCAGGTTCTGGGAGGAGCAAATGCACAGGGAGCTGGCTGTGCTTTGTGACTGAAGAGCACCTGCCGACTCTCATCCCTGTAAAGGGGAACTGCTGCTTTGAGAGGTGACCAGCTGGCCCTGGGCCTCTCTCTGGCCCTGTAATCTGCTCCAACAGGGGAGCCCAGGAGATGTCCCTAAAGAGCAAGTGCCGATGTCTCCCGTCTGCCTGAAAACCACGACGCTCCTCCCATCATCCGCAGGGCCGGGCTCAGCTCCACAGCATGGCTCAGGGCCTGCGCATCTGGGTCCGGGGTGTCTTCTCCAGCTTCTCTTGCTTCTCCATCGCTCTTGCTGCAAGATCCAGTTGTAATGAACGCTGGTCAGATTTTCAAAGAAGGCGGGCGCTGTCTTCCCCAGGGCCTTCACTGTTCTGGCTCTGTCGCCTCCATCCCCTCCCCTTCCTACCCTCCCTAGTTCTTATCAGACCACACACCAGTCCCCCCAGGAAGCCTTCGCTGGCCTCTCTTCCATGACTGAGCTCAGGGAACCCCTGTGGCTTCTGAATCACTCTCTTGTTGCTCTTATCTTGCTGAACTACATTTGCTCACTTACTGGTTAAAACTCCTCTAAGACTCTAAGCTCCTTGAGGGCAGGCAGTGGAGGTGGCGAGAGTACAGAGCAAGGCCCAGGCTTTGCCCTGCTCTGCTTCAGCATCCCAGTGGGGAGGCAGCCCCTGGAAGTCCCTGCAGGCGGGTTGGCCGCAGTGGTGGGAGGGCTGTGGCAGCTATGTGAGCAGACGGCGCCTGACCCATCTGGCTCGTCTCTGTGTCAAGGCCCAAGCTTCTGCGATGTGCTCAAGAGTGGAGTCCTCTCCAGGAGAGTGGGCCCAGGCTACACCCCGGACTGCAGGGCAGAGGATGGGGGCTTTTCACCAGTGCAGTGCGACCCAGCCCAGAGCAGCTGCTGGTGTGTCACAGGCAGAGGAGAAGAGGTGCCTGGGACCCGTGTGGCCGATAGCCAGCCTTCCTGTGAGAGTAAGTCAGGACCCCCCAGAGGGCCCGGGGGGACGCACTTCTCTTCCTTTACCCAGGCAGGGTGGGGTTCCAAAGAAGCAGGACCATGGGGGTGGGAGGGAGACAGGAAGCGCAGGAGGGATGTAGTTGTGATTGATTCCCTTGATTTTGAAATTTGTGTCTACTTCCTAAAAATGCTCAGCCTGGGGAACTGAAATCGGGAAGAGCCTGGCCAGGAATTTCCAGAGCTAGCATCTCAGGAAGGGCTGGCGCTGGCCTGCTGATGAGTCCTGGCTCTCATCCTATCCCTGAATGGGGAGAAGGGGCCTGAGCACAGGATCTCAGTGCAGATGGTTCCCTCCCTACTGGGTGTTTCAGCAGTTTGTGGAGATGTTGACCTGTTTATTCTTATTTCTGGTTGAAAAATTGTATAAATGTCAAAGATTGAAATATGCATCCTGTGAATATATATTAGAATATTGACATATGTTATTAAATATTAAAATGTATTGTTTAATTATAAATTATCTCTTGTAAGTATTTCTCCTACATACTCAAGTCACAGGACATTACAGACCTTTTTCAAATGTCTATGAAGAGGTAGGTTAGACAATTCATAAATTTCATTTCAGGACAGGAAATGGAGACATTACAAAATATTTATTATAAATTGGGATGGCGGGCCTGGCAGGGTTAAGAAATACTGTAGCTTTGCCACAATGTCTATGGCGATAGCAGGGACTGGAGGGGACGTGGGAGGGAAGGGCAGGGGCTGAGGCGCAAATGCAGGAGCCTGGCGGAGGCCTCACGAGCAGCTGAGCAGAAGATGAGGACCGTCTTAATGAGGGGGCGGCAGTGGGCATGGAGAGACGTTGAGCAGGTGAAGCCACAGCCTTTGCTGATCTAGGGCAGAGGAGATGGGGCTGCGTAGGAAGGCAGTCAAGCTTCTGGCTTGGGACAACTGGGTGTCTGGAGGTGCCACTCTTTGTGGCCTGGGCAGCATCTGCTGACCTCAAGCTTGGTCACATCAGCTTTGAGGTGGAGAGACTAGTTGGTCATTTGTCCAAGCTTCTGGCTTGGGACAACTGGGTGTCTGGAGGTGCCACTCTTTGTGGCCTGGGCAGCACCTGCTGACCTCAAGCTTGGTCACATCAGCTTTGAGGTGGAGAGACTAGTTGGTCATTTGTTGGACTTAGAGATGGGAAGAAGCTAAAGGGAGGCTGAGCTGGAGGTGAAGCTATGAGAATCATCCTTGCTTATGTGTCTGCTAAAACTAAGAGAGGACTGGTTTGTCCAAGAAGAGGGCAGGGAGGGAGGGGAGAAGGCCCGGGCCCGGGGAAGGGAAGAATGGGAGAGCCTGTGTCACTAGAAGGGAGCCCACAGGCAGGGGCACTTGGCCCTCCCGAGTGCCGGCTGATGCCCACTGCAGCTCCTCTTTCCTTTTCCTAGGCCCACAGTGCCCACTGCCCTTCGACATGTTGGGTGTGGTTAACGGAGCGGTCCTGTGTGCAACAGCCTCTGGCCCAGGGGGGACTGCCATCCAGCAGTGCCAGCTGCTGTGCCGCCAGGGCCATCAGAGCGCGTTCCTTCCGGGGCCACTGGTGTGCAGCCTCGAGAGGAGACGCTGGGAGTCACAGCCGCCTCAGCCCCGTGCCTGCCAGCGTGAGTGGCCCTGGGATGTCTGTCCTGCACCGGCCCCTCTCAGGGCTGCGGCTGAGCATGCGAATGGGGATGCGAGGCTGCTTCGTTCCCCCCTCCCAAATGTAGCATATTCATGGCAAGCTGGGTGGCACCCAGAAAGGGGACAGGACCTCACAGAGCATTTTCTTCTGGAAGGAGCAGGTGTGCTTCCTGGACGCCTGGAGTTAGGCTTTATTTTTGGCTGATCTTCAGGCATCTGCTTCCTAGGAGAATTGCCATTTCCTGGGATATGTTAGATTCAGGACAATTATTTAGCAGGTAGGTGCTCCAAAAACCGTATTGGTGACAATAGCGTTCACATGCTCAGAGCTGCTCGTCCAGGCTGTGAGAGTGACCTGCCCACCAGCCTCTCCCTGGGTCCACCTGGACCTCCAGGGCTAATGCCTGGAGAGCAGGGGGCTGGATCCTGCTCCAGGTGGGATGTCAGCTCTCACTGCTGGGCCCTGGGCCCTGTTTAAACATTGGCCCTCATTTACAGTGCTCTGTAGAATTCCGTTCTCCTGCTCTCACGCTGAATCCCTTGACTCATGCACAAGCACATGGCTGTGTGGTAACACCAGGATCTGACCTCGTCTGCCTTTGTAAAGGCCAGCTGTGGTTACTCAGTGTTTTAGTCCGTTTAGTGTTGCTATAACAGAGTACCTGAAACTGGGTAATTTATAAAGAAGAGAGGTTTATTAGGCTTACGATTCTAGAACAGCTGTATCTGGCATGGGCCTCAGGCTGCTTCTACTCATGGTGGAAAGTGGCAGCAGCCGGCGGGTACAAGCAGATCACATGGTGAGAGGAAGCAAGAGAGAGAAGCAAGAGAGAGAGAGAAGGTGCCAGGGTCTTTTTAAGCAACAAGCTCTCGTGGGAACTAATAGAGCGAGAACTCACTCATTAATCCACCCTCCCCCAGGGAGAGCATTAATCCATTCATGAGGGATCCGCCCCATGACTCAATCAGTTTCCAAGACTGCCACATGGGAGATCAAATTTCCACATGAGTTTTGGAGGGAACAACACATCCAAACTCCATCACTCAGTCAGACAGGAAAGGGACAGCTGAGACCCAGTACTCGGTCCACCCGGTGCAGTAGGAGGGGTGTCTGGGAGAGAGGCCCAGATCCTGGGGCTGACTGTCATAAAGCTCTGGGTGGCTGCCAATGTGTCAAGGACACTATTTGCTGTAAAGCACTCTGGAATACAGAGGGCCCTCATCCAGAAGAAGTTCGAAATGTGATTAGGACAAATTAGTGACCTGTTACTTTGACTGTGACAGGGTGGCATAAGATGAAATCAAGACCAGGCTGGTCACAGTTGAATCTAGAGCAACGGACTTCAGGAGAAGAGAGGCATGAGTCAGCCTCAGAAGCTGAATATGGGGCTGCTGTGTATGATTGTGTAGGTTGTGCACTGACCAGCCTTAGAGGATGTCATTCACATTGTCTATGGTGACTGTTCTTAATCTGCAAAACCACGTGGAGCCGCCCTGTTTCTATGCAAGATAGTAAGAAAGATTTTCCAAGAAGACTGTCCAGGACCCCAGAAGGTAGAACATCCTGGTTTAGTGGCTGAAGCAGGACTGAGCTTGCTGCGAGGGCTCTAAGTAATTTGAGAGACAAGCTGTTATGCTAGGAAGCATTTAGTTTCTGAGGATGACAATACAAAATGGCAGTGCTTGTGTGTTCTGGGCTAAATGAGGAAGGTTTATTTTTGCAGGGGAAAAACCAAAAAGAAAAAAAAAGAATCCCACAGGTCTGTCACCTCTGTCTGCTGACCTCTGGTGCTTACCTGCAGGGCCCCAGCCGTGGCAGACCATCCAGGCCCAAGGGCACTTCCAGCTGCAGCTACCGCCGGGCAAGATGTGCAGTTCCGACTATGCGGGCCTGCTGTGGGCTTTCCAGGTCTTCATATTGGACGAGCTGACAGCCCGCGGCTTCTGCCAGATCCAGGTATGCGCCTGGCTTCCCCACGGAGTCATCGTGTCAGAACCTCAGGGAGCAAAGGAACCTATGGTTCAGGTTCAACCCTCGCTCATTTTACCAATGGGTAAACTGAGGCTCAAAAATGAAAAGTAACTAGCCAAGGTGAATTACGTAGCAGTGGAGGTGGAATCCATACCCGTCTCATCACAGCCATTCTTTCTACATAAAGATGTCAAATTGTGTACTGAGCACTTACTATGTCCTGTGGCATAAATTAGCTAATACTGTCCTCATATGGACCCTATTATTATTACCATTTTGTAGATGAAGAAAATGAAGACCAGAGAGCTAAAATAATTGGCCCAGAGCCACACAGCTAAGAAACGGTGGAGCCAGGCTCACGTATCTCTCTGTGAGCTCTGCGGCCAGGGTAGTTTATTTAACTTCTCTGAACCTCATTTTCCTCAGATGCAAAAAAGGCATCTCTAGCGCCACCCCTCTTGAAGTAGGGTTGATTGAGGATTAAAGGAAACACAAGCCAAGTTCTGGCTCCTGGGGCGGGCTCCACAAAACTGGCCTCCGCTCTGTGTTCTTGAACTGAGAGCCTCCGTCTCCATGTAGGTGAAGATTTTTGGGACCTCGGTTTCCATTCCTGTCTGCAACAACTCCTCGGTGCAGGTGGGGTGCCTGACCACGGAGCGCTTAGGAGTGAATGTCACATGGAAATCACGGCTGGAGGACATCCCAGTGGCCTCTCTTCCTGATTTGTATGACATTGGTATGTTTTTCTGCAACCGTGTCTTGAAGCAGCTACACAGCCTCTGTGAGTCTCAGTTTCCTCATCTGTCCAGTGGAGCTAGTGAAGCCCCTGATGTCCTGTGAGGATGCAGCAAGCGAGTTATGTGCCCGGCCCACAAGTGGAGCTAATTATTAAAATGTAGATAAGAATCAATATAGTTCTGGTTACTAGAGTTAACGTCCACAACAAAGGGCCTGATGGTGCTTTCGTGAACATCTTCTAAGAGTAGGGTGAGGGAGTTTTCCCTGGTTTATAACTTATGTCTCACCCACTTCCAGTTATCAAACATCTCAGAGCACTCACAACATATAAAATAGGGCAGCTATGATATGGATGAATCAAGGAGTAGAAAGATTTAAGAGGAGCAGAATGGATTTTATAATAGCTAATATGAGCATGTGCCATGTTTAACTCTGAGTTTTCTGGCAGGGTAAGAAATAATCCATAAAGTGGGAGGCAGCTCCATTCTTTCTTCTACCATGCAGGGGCCAAACACCCAGGGTCAGGACGAGCTGGAGCTTACCCTCTGTTCTATGGGGGAAATTTCTGGAAAACATTGCCAGGATATAACCCCAGGGGCAGACTACATCTCTGTCACTCTCCAGTCCTCATGGCAACAATCTGTTGTATTAGTCAGGGTTCTCCAGAGAGACAGAATCAATAGGATATGTTATAATTATATGAGAGGGATTTATTAGGGGAATTAGCTCACTTGACTAGAAAGAAAAGTCCCACGATAGGCCGTCTATAAACTGGATGCCGTAGTGTGGCTCAGTCCAAGTCCAAAGGCCTCAAAACCAGGGAAGCTGATGGTGTCCTTGGTGTAAGTTCTGGAACCCAAAAGCTGAAGAGTCTCGAGCTCTGATACCCACTGACAGGAGAGAAGAGTGCATCCCAGCTCCAGCAGGTAGAGGGAGTTTCACCTTCTTCTGTTTTTTGTTCTCTCTGGACCCCCAGCGGATTGGATGGTTCCCACCCACACTAGGGTGGGTCTTTCCCACCCAGGCCACTCAGACTCTCATACTAGTCTCTGCTGGAAACACCCTCATGGACACACCAAAAAAGAGAGGTTTACCAGGTTTCTCAGCATTCCTTCATCTAACCTAGTTGACACCTAGAATTAACCTTCACATCTGTGTAATAAGAATTCCCCCCTCCCACCCCCGACAGCATTATGGATGAGTGTTGCCCTTTTGTCTTCCTCCAGAGAGAGCCTGAATAATCTGGGTATGTCTGAAGCTGCAAAAGCATGAGATGTTCATGACTGGCTTCGATGGTGAGACAGTGATGACTGTGGTTTCAGGCCATGGCTGGTCTTACGGTAGCCTGTTGTCTCATGAACGTTTGCTGCAAGCAGGGATCCACCCAGGCTCCTGACGGGATGTTCATCTACTTTCATCCTAGGGAAGATGAGTGCATATAGCTGGACAGCTGAGGCTTCTCTGTTCAGCCAAGCACTGAGGCAGAAGGCCACTCTGCCTCCTGACGCCCTCGCCTTCCTTATGAGTGGCCTCTTCACACATGTTCTCTCCCAGGATCTTCACCAGCTGCAAGAGAGGCATTCCTGGGCCATTTTACAGAGGGGGAAATTGAGGCCCAGAGGTGTTCAGTGCCTTGTCAAAAGTTGAGGAGGATGAGTATTTGGACAGTGAACCTTAGATTAGTGGCTGAAGACATGATATTCTGTACCAATGTGGGTCACATTGGTGCCATCAAATGACAGAAGCCAAAAGCCCTGGGTTGGAGTCTTACTTGTGCTTCTGACTCCTATGTGACTTTGGCCTAGTCAATCCCCTTCTCTTGGCCTCAGTTTCTCCCTCTATAAAATAAGGCGATGATGCCTATGTCTAGGTGATGCCTATGTCTAGGTGATGCCTATGTCTCCTTTCAGCCAGAACGTTCTAGGCGGCTCTTCCCCCTCGACCCCTCTGCCCTTGCAGAGAACAGTGAGATGACCTCTGCCTTGTCCTGTGTCTTACAGAGAGGGCCTTTGTGGGCAAGGATCTCCTGGGACGCTTCACAGATCTCATCCAAAGTGGCATGTTCCAACTTCGTCTGGATTCTAAGATGTTCCCAGCAGATACCTCCATCAGCTTCCTCCAAGGGGACCACTTTGGCACCTTTCCCAGGACACGGTTTGGGTGCTTGGAAGGATTTCACCGAGTCATGACCAGCAGCAACGCCAGTCAGGACACACTGGGTTGCGGTAGGTCCATGCCTCTCCTCTGCTATTATGGAGCCGCATGAGGCTTGGGGAAAGGCCACCAGAGCTCTGGAGAGAGGCTACCCTGTACACACAGAGCGGAGAATCATTCATTTACTTGGTTAGCACAAGTTTTCAGTCACCCACTGTGCACGGCCATGTGGTCTTTACTCACTAGATGGCACGGCAGAAGGAAGAACCCGATGTTCGACGTTACCCTTTCTGCTAGTTCTCGGCAGGCTGGGATCCCGGGTCCTGGTCTGCACCGTCTTTGTGAAGAAGGCTGATGTACACCCTTTGTCCTGGTTGGACAGTTCTTAGTCCAGTTATGGCAGCTTGTTACTCACCACAATTCCCAAATGGCCACTTATCAGTCCAGGCCTTTATGACCCAGAGAAAGCGGTTCTTGGTGGAGGTTTACTTAGGCTGAAATTGCCCTTGCCAATGAGTGGCTTTGGAGGTCATTTTCACTGGAATGCCCCTGCAGATTCCTTGAATGAAAGCTATGTTGGTTTCCTATTGCTACTATAACAAACTGAGTGGCTTAAAACAACACAAATTTATTCTCTCACAGTTCTATAGGTTTAAATTCTGACAGAGGTCTCACTGGGCTAAAATCAAGGTGTCGGCATGGCTGCGTTCCTCATGGAGGCCTGGGGGTGGGGGACAGGGATCTCTTTCTTGCCTTTTCCAGTTTCTAGAGGTTTCCCACATTTCTTGGCTGGTAGCTTCTTTTTTTCCTTCATTGTCAAAGCCAGTAATGTTGTAGTTCTCTGACCCCTTTTCCCTGGTCACCTGTTTCTCTTCTAAGGACCTTGTAATTAAACCCAGCTGGAGAAACCAGGACACTTCCATTTTAAGGTCAGCTGACTAGTGACCTTAATTCCATCTGCAACCTTAATTCCCCTTTGCCATGTAACCTAACATACTCCCAGGTTCCAGAGATGAGGACGTGGACATCTGGGTGGGTGGGCACTATTCTGTCTACCTCTGACGCTTTGAGGGTCTCATCATGAGAAGCTATCTTCGTGTGTAAAGTGAGACAAAAAGGCATTTTATCGAGCTAAAGATAGAGAAGATGTTTCTCTGTTATTTTTTTATTTTTCCCATTATTTATATTGGTTGCAACACAAAAGCTGCATGGCCTCTTCCGTTCTGAAATCCACACCAAATTCTAAATTCCATACTGGATTTAAGATGCAGCTAAATCTTAACACAAAAAACAGAAACACAACCACTGTCCACCACTATTTACAGAGGAGTTTGCCATTTACATCGCACCTTAGCAAATATTTACTTCTCACGATAGCCCCTCGTGGCAGGTCATTTCCCCATTTAATGGATGAAGAAGCTGAGGCTAGATTAAATGAGACTGCATCCACAGTGCCCAGAGCAGGGCTGACTCATGGGAGGGACTCAAGTTCACCTAACCCATTATCAGTGGGTAGGTAACCCTGGATCCTCTGGGGCCAGACCGCATGGTCTTTCCTTCCACCTCACCACAGCAGCCCAAACAAAGAGAACAGGAAGTGGGGGCAAGAGTGGATGGTGCCGCTTGCCAGGGTGGGTGGAACAGGGTCGCAGACAGAGAGCCACACAGAGAACACCTACAGTGTGTTCTCAGACATGAAGAGCCCGGGCTCCACCTCCAGACACTGAACTAGTAGGATATGTGTGTGCATGGATGTTTGTGGAGTGTGGGTGTGTATGTGTGTGAGTGTATGTCGAGGGTGTATGTTTGCAAGTCTGTGTGCATGTGTGTGGTATGTGTACGTGTGGACACATGTATATATGTATATCTGTGCACATGTATGTGTGTGCATATGTGTATGCTGTGGGTATGGGTGTTGGGGGCGGGAGAACTGCAGGAGTCTGCTTTTATAGTTACTCCAGGTGGAGTCACAAGGGGGTCTAGAAGCAAGGTGGGGAGAGTCACTGGCCTCAGGTGTGCCCTCTGGAGGGAGCTGGGAGCTAAGAGGCAAAGCAACAAGAGATGCAGATGATAGAGGTCAAAGGGCAGGGTGGAGAACCTGTGCTGACTCTGCCTTTAAGGAAGTCCTATCCCCTCCTGGGGGTCCTCCTTTCCACACCCCCTCTCCCCTCAACACACACAGGTGAAAAAAGGAGCCAGACCGGGCCGGCCCGGTGGCGCACTGCTACAGTGCGCCTTCGGCGCTCTCGCCGAGGGTTCGGAGAGGGTTCGGATCCCACATATTCGGCGCTCTCGCCGAGGGTTCGGATCCCACATATAGACCGGTTCCCGCTCACTGGCTGAGCGAGGTGCGGACGCAGCACCGAGGGTTGCGATCCCGTTGCAGGTCCCGGTCCGGTACGGGACGACCGAAAAAAGACAAAAAGGAAAAAAAAAAAAAAGAAGAAAAAAAGGAGCCAGACCAGAAATCTGATCCCAAGGTTTCTTCTAGGGAACTCAAGTATTAGTTCCTGTCAACTGGAAATGAGAGGGGAAGCTTAGCTCAGGGCAGGGAAGGTTTTGCCTGAAGGGGGAAACCCTGTGTGTGTCACTGTGGGGCCTGGGAATCAACAGCTGGCATCAGGGTGGCCAGGGCTTCGGGGGGGCTCTGGTGGGGGGCCGAGGGTGGGGCCTGGGAAGTGGCTGCATAAAAGGTTTGCCCAGATATGCTTGCTCTAGGACAGGGGTTGGCAAAGTTTTTCTGTAAAGGGCCAGACAGCAAATATTTCAGGCTTTGTAGGCCATATGGTCTCTGTCTCAATGACTTAACTCAGCCATTGTAGGAAGAAAAATGTGCCTGTGTTCCAATAAAACTTGATTTACCAAAACAGAAGGTGAGCTGAATTTGGCTCACAGGCTGTAATTTGCCAATTCTTGCTCTAGATAAAACTACATTCTGCTTTCAGCTGCTGTAGACTTTTACTGACTCACAAAGAATTGTCAACCACATCATTCAGCTCCCCCCCACCCCCCCCCCACCTTACTCCAGATGGTTAGAAAAGACTAGACTGGAAGTCACAAAAGCAGTACCAAAAGCCTTGGGTTTTGTCCACTATCAATGATAATATCTGTCCCTTGTTGAGTTGCTGATTCAAGTAGGGCCTTGCTAGCATTTTTCTGTTCAGAGAGTCAGGTATTATTAAGCCCGTATTATGAATGAGGAAACCAAGGGCATATAGCTGTGTATAGTGTTAGGAAACTGCTCTTGGAAGTCATGCGGACCTGGGCTGGAGTCCTGGCTCCAACACTTTCTCATTGTAGGATCCTGGGAAAGTCACCAAGCCCCACTAAGCATAATCTGAAAAATAGGGGTAGTAATATCTACTTCATGGGGTTATGGTTTGGATAGTATACAATCGATACAAAGCACACAGCACCTGGCACACAGAGAACTCTCAATGAAGGATTGTGGTGTTAATTGGCAGTGTTGAGATTTACACTCAGCTCTGCCTGCCTCCAAGTTCTTTGTTCTGTCCTCTGCATCACACATCTCCCTTCTCAAGCAGAGGGTTCTTAGTGAAATCACACCCTCCAATTCTTCTATCTATTCTTCTTGGCTCTTTTCCTTCTTAAACACATCTGGGACACAGCTGTAAAGTTACAAGTCAGAGCATTGTCCTGTGGCGATGAGGCAGGGTTTCTGTGTGTCACTTCAGGGGGGCTAATCTGGATGGCCCCCTTGGAGGGCAGTGACTCAGGGGGCTGGTGGGAATACCCATCCCCCATGACTCAGGTAGGTGTGGCAGCCTTGATCTGGGGAGCTGGATACCGCCAGGAGCTGAGGCCTCGCTGGCAGCTCCGATAGGTCAGTTTTGTTCACCCTTTTGCCCAAGGACAGTTATATGGCTTCCTCTTGGAATCACCTGCTTGCAGCCTTTAAAGCAGATCAGTTTATTAAGAGGAAACCCAGGGAATTGTTTGGATTTTCTATTTCCATTCCGAATGGCATTAACTTTCACTCATTCAACGTAAATTCCTATAATAGAGCCAGTTCCCTAAGGATTTTTTTCTGAAGTAATATGTTATGTCTTGTCTTCCTTCCTTCCTTCCTTCCCTCTTTTGATCCCTCCCTCCTTCCTTCCATCCATTAATTTATCCATCCATCTATCTATCCATTTATTCATCCATCCATACAATCATCCATCCATCCATCTATCCATCCATCCATCCATCCATCCATGCTTTTGAAATACAATTATTTATCAAACACCATGTTATGTGCTCAGGCAAGCAAAAGACATAGCTCCACTTTCAAGGAACTTGCAGTCTACTTGGGGAGAGGTAGGTGAAGAGACAGCTAGAACATCATGTCAAAAGTCTTCACATCCTGGGCCGGCCCGGTGGCGCACTGCGCTAGTGCGCCGCTTGGAAAGCGCGGCGGCGCTCCCGTCGAGGGTTTGGATCCCACATACAGACTGGTTCCCGCTCACTGGCTGAGCGAGGCGCGGGGGCAGCACCGAGGGTTGCGATCCCGTTGCCGGTCCCGGTCCGGTACGGGGGCGACACTGAGGGTTGCGAACAGTTGCCGGACACGGAAAAAGACAAAAAAAAAAAAAAAAAAGTCTTCACATCCTATCAGGGAAGTCAGGGAGGACTTACTGGGCAGCAAATGCTGCATGAAGTGTTGAAAGGTGAGTAGGAATTGCTGCTCAGACAAGAGCAGACAGGAGGTGGTGTGTGTGTGCATGTGCTTGGGTGCTAAAGTGATAAATTATGAACATTCCAGAAATGGAGATTAGTGAAAAGCAGAGAGTCATGAAGCAGTGTAGCTTTATGAAGATAGTGCCCATGGTTTGCACAGCTGAGGAACAGGGTGTTCGAGGAATGTGGCAAGAGCTGGGGCCAGAGAGGTGGGCAGGGACCAGGACAGGAGAGGCCTTGAGGCACAGCAGGGGGCTTGGGCTGGTAATGGAGCACCATGGAAGAATTTTAAGCTGGAGGGGGACAGGGCCAGGTGTGGTCTTGAGCCAACTTCCTAACGGGTGAAAGACCCTTGTGTTTCCTCGCAGATATTTTTCTTCAGCAGAAACGTAGCTGTCACTATTGGGGGGCTGTGGGGAAGGGTTAGCAGGAAGGGTTGCATGATCCCAATGCTTTGTGAAACTTTCAAACTCAAATAGGCCAAATTGTCTCATCTTACAAAAGAAGGAACTGACGCCAAAGGGGTTTTTTGAAGATTTCAAAGGAGGAATTGAGTGGAAGGCAGCTCCCAATTGTGGCAGTGAATTCAATGGTCTTCAAGAGGGGCCCTGTGCTGAGGGACGGATGTCAATAACCCAGCCATGGTCTCATTCTGACTTACAGGAGTGTTCTTTTGGGTGCAAAAGACTCTTGATGTCAGAGATGGAGATAAATGGTGGGAGGAGATGGCATGCACATCCTCTGAGCACAGACAGGAGGCTTGGAACTTACTGGGCTTGCAGCGAAAGTTGGGTCCTAGCTCTCTTCTTTCTGCTCCTTTACCCACACCTCAGGTTTTAGAAGCAGGGCAACTCAGGCTGGCAAAAAGCTTTTATTTGCTTTTAGCAATGAATTTGGAGGTGACTTAATTGAAAAAATAGTCACAGTTTTGGGGTTGAAATGCCAGAGATGATCATTAACAACCTGACTAATCGAGGTACTGAAACTCTACTCTCTAAGGGAGGATATTAATTGCTCCGGGCAGACTGGAAAACACACTGTTCAATTTCCAAAATGTGGCTCAGGTTTCAGATTTACTCAGAAATGCCAAGTACATAGGCAGACCAGAGATGGTGGTTGCTAAATCAACACTGGCTCCGTCCCAGCACGTCCCACTTGTTTGTGCCGACTTTGTCGTCAGAGGGAGTTGGTTGGATTGGTAGGTGAAACAAAGGCTTTGGTTTGGAGGCGAATGAATGGGGTTCATATTCCACCTCTGTCATATCATTGCTTGGTCAACCTTGACTTTGAACCTCAGTTTTCTCCAGTCTGGGCAACTGGAGATGGGCAGTGGAGATGATACTTTTCTCATTAGGGCTGTGAGTTAACACATTAAAACATCTGGCACTGTGCTTGGCATATTCTGTAATATGCTTCCCTTTGCAGAAAAGCATGCTAGGAAGTCATGCATGAATGTCCTGAGGCTCAACTATCTCATCTGTGAAATGGGCATAAAATACTAACTCTTGGGCCAGCCCGGTGGCGCACTGCTACAGTGCGCCACTTGGGAGTGCGGCGGCGCTCCCGTGGAAGGTTTGGATCCCACATACAGACCAGTTCCCGCTCACTGGCTGAGCGAGGTGCGGCACTGAGGATTGCAATCCCGTTGCCGGTCCTGGTCCGGTATGGGCGCGACACTGAGGGTTGCGATCCGTTGCCGGTCACGAAAAAAGACAAAAAGGAAAAAAAAAATACTAACTCTTGGTGGTGATGTGTTAATGCACTTGAAGTACACAGTAGAGTGCCAGGCACAGAGGAATGCTCCCAAGAGTGGGTGAAATTTTAGCTAGCACTTTTTACTGGGTAAAAGCTCACTTCTTCTGGAAGTTACTTGGCAGACTCTCAGGAACACAACCTTGAACCAAGAAAGAAAGCAAAACGAACCTCCCGCCCCGAGCCCCTTCTCTGAGCTGTCAGATTCAGCGTGGAGTTGGTGCGCTCACTCAGAGCAGAGCTCCTCAGACCCCAGTGCACCTCCTATGAGATAAACGTTTTTCCAGCTGGTTTTCTGGTTTCCCAGTCCATATCATATTAGAGGAGGAAGATTAGGAGAGATTGGGAATGTTAGGATCAGAGGCACGGAAAGCATATTAACAGCATAACCCCGGAGAGGTGAGGGTGAGGAGAATGAGGCCCCCAGGACGCAAGATTTAAGTAGGTTCTCGACCTCAGGGCAGACTTGGCAGCTCTGAGTCATTCACAAACCCAACCCCTGGTAGCGACAGCCTCCTTAAATCCTGTGCCTCGTGCCTTGCTCACCTCACCCTAGCCCTGGGTCTGAGCAGTGCTCTCAGTGACCATGGGAACAGAGGGCACCGCTGAGTCACGTGAGATGGTGCCGAATTGGTGGAACTGCCTCACACACAAGGGGCACCCTGTTGGGACGAAGTGGGTGTTGAGGTTGTCTGCAAGGAAGGGCTTCCTCGAGTGTGGAAAGAATTACCGTTTGTTGAGCATATACATGAGTCTGGTTTTATGACACATACCTTATGTACGTGATCACTACACCCCAGTGAGACAGTATTATTAATCCCCATGTGCCACAGGAGAAGGTGGAGTCTCAGAAAAGTCCAGTTATACAGGTATAGCGGGCAGTGGGATTCACCCAATCTGTCCCACCCCGGAGCTTGCGCTCCCACCTGACTCCAGGGTGCCCTTAACTTTGGGAAGCATTTCCATGGCAACCTGCAGATGGGCCCTGTCTTTCCAGTTGTTCTCCCTCCGACTTCATCTCATGCCGCCGTTCTGTTCTCCTCTTTGTAAACAAGCTCCAGCTCAGTAGCCAGCACCGACTGGCTTTCTTCTTTCCATCCCTTGAATAATGCAATCTCATGCCTACCTTAGGGCTCTTGCACTTGCTGTTCCCTCTGCCTGGAGTTCTCTTCTCCTGGATCTTTGCCTGGAGTGCTCCTCCTCATCCAAGTCTCCAGTGTCACCTGTCGGAGGGGCTTCCCCTCACTAGCGTGCCCCTGTCACCTTGCTTCATTGTACCTGTATCAGAAACATTTGTTGGACCCTCTCACCTCCTGCAACGCGTCAGGCCCTGGAGAGCAGGAAGCTCATCTGCCTTCTGTACAGCTGTGTCCTGGCTTTCAGAGCCTGATGCACCGACAGTTCTCAATGGACATTCGCTAAATCAATGAGCTCTTAAACTGGGTTTAGGATTCCACATACCCTGCGTATTCTGGGATTGTAACTGTAAATCATACGTCTTGTTCTTTAACATCATTTCTTTTTTTATATTTTCCAGTTAAGTGTCCTGAAGGAAGCTATTCTCAGGATGAGCAATGTATTCCCTGTCCTGTTGGATTCTACCAAGAACAGGCAGGTAGCTCAGCCTGTGTCCCGTGTCCTGTGGGCAGAACAACCATTTCCACTGGAGCTTTCAGCCGCACTCATTGTAAGTTCTGTAGGGTCCTGCTTCGAAAGAGAAACCTTGCAATACTATGGGATGCAGCAGGGCTTCTCATCCTCCAGCACTATTGACATTTTGGGGTAGATAATTCTTAGTTGTGGGGGGGCTGTCCTTTGCATGGTAGAATGTTTAGCACCCTTAATACACTAGCCCTTACCAACTTGATGCATGCCCCCCATCAAGGTGTGACAACCAAACATGTCTCCAGACATTGCCAAGTGATTCTTGGGTGGAGGGGCAGGGCAGAATTGCCCCCCACTGAGAACCACTGTGTACACAGCATAACAAAGGAGACCTTTGAATACCTATCTCCTGCCTGGCTCTGGGCCAGGCATTTAGCTGTGGTGTCTCATTCAGTGCCCCAAACACCCCTTCCAGGTAAATAGTATTAGCTCCACTTTTACCAACAAGAAGGCTGAGGCTCAGAGAAGTCAAGAAATTTAGCCAGCGTCACTCAGCTAATTGATAACATAGCTGGCCTTTGATCTTGTTTCTGTGTGATTCTGAAACTTCCGATTTTTGTAAGTCTACCTTATCAGATTGAGCAGTGGAAGATATTTTCCACCTGTAGTCATTGCTACTCATAGTCTCTTTCTGGCCCTATGCATTTGTCAGTACGTGTGGCCTTCCTGTATGTCATGTGATTTCACTCGGTCTACTTACTTAATAGTCAACTGGGTACTGGTGGGTTTTTCCTAGCAAGGACCCACACATATCTTCTTTTGCATCTTTTCACGTTAGTCTGAAATTGTGTCGACATGAGACAAACTGTTATTGCTTAAAATCTGAATAATTTCTAGAATTTTTAAAACAAGTAGTCAAGAGAAATCACATCACTTTCTTCAATAAGGGAAGTTTTCTTGGTCAGGGGAGCAGGGGTAATAGGCACTAATTCCAAAAAAGTAAACGTGAGAGGAATTTTAAAAGCTGAGAGTCTGACATTCTTCCTGGAGAAGAAGCTCTTCACCAGGAACATACTGGTGGAGTGTCTTTGACATCAGGGTGTCCCCCTCAGTTTGTACACATTGACTCAGTACTTGTGGGTTGAGATGATTTGAAGTGTATTGAAATGTTGGAGGAGCATTTTCTTAAAAGGAGGTGTATGTAATGCACTGATCCTTGCCGATGGAAGGGATATGACAGAAATGGCGGGCAACAGAGGGCAGTGGCCAAGGCTTGCGCCAGCCAGACCCTGTTCCATCCCTGCTGTCCTTTCTTACTTGTGCTGTGACCTAGGCCAAGTCATCTTCCTTCTCTGAATGTCAACTCCCTCATCTATTAGATGGGGCCAGTGATGCCTCCCTCACAGGGAGGTTATAAAGCATGTCATAGTTCGGGCTGCTATTACAAATTACCATAGACGGGGAAGCATAAGTGACAAGCGTTTACTTCTCCTGGCTCTGGAGGCTGGATGTCTGAGGCCAGGATGCCAGCATGGTCAGGTTCTTGGAGATGGCTCTCTTCCTGGTTATGTCCTCACATGGCCTTTGCTTGGCATGCACAGAGGGAGAGACACACAGACAGATGGAGAGAGCTCCTGTCTTCCTCTCTTTATAAAGATGGTAATCCCATCCTGGGGGCCCCTCCCTTGTGACCTCATCCAAACCTAACTACTTCCCAAAGACCTCACCTCCAATACCATCGCACGGCGGAGGGTGATTAGAGCTTCAGCGTATAACTTTCAGAGGAATGCAAACATGCGGTCCATAGCGACCAGAATCAAAATGTCTAATGTGAACATTGAATGGTCACTCTCACCCCACTTTTGCAGCGAGCTTTGTTTGCATTTCCACGTACTGTGGAGGGATGTGCTGCATGGCTACGACTCTCCAAGACATTTTCCTTGAGTAATAGAATAGATTCTAGGGAATGGTTCTCCAGGGTCAAGGCTGGAGGCTGTGGTAAGGGTCTGTCCATATCTAAGAACTTCTCCATGACTCATTAACTCCATCATATCCGCCTGTTGAATTATCTCATCTGTGTCTTAGATGGAATCATATTGAAGAGAAAGAAGCACAGGGCAGTAGAGTCTGCTAAGTTTTAAATGATGGCAAGTTACTCTAACACTTCCTTTCATGTTAGGGTAGCTTTTAAAATCCCAACTCCTCTGTATAGTTGAGGTCTGTGTTATAGTTCTTGCTTATGCTTTTTTTCCCTATATTTCTTAACTGAGCAGATCAATTGGACTGATCCCTGCACAGATCCTTGAGATTCTGTTGGTAGCTGAGTAGTTCTTTGTTTGTTTACTGATATGTTAATTTGTGTGTGGTATGCAAATCATTCTATTTAAAAAGCAGCCTTTGTAACCTCCCCACAAAAAAGTTGTTATTAATCAATTGTTAATCTTCTAACTGATAGTCTTGAAATATAGAAACTCAGATGTTATCAAGCCTCTGGGCTGCTATAAAAGATTATCGTTCACCTACTTCAGAGCCCTGGAGATATATATCTTTTGATATATCATTCATCAAAAATCTATCAAGCACCTGCTTTGTGGCAGGTATGTACTGGGTATATACAAAGCAAGTAAAGATAAAGTCCCTGTCCTCAAGGAGTTTAGAGTCTGATACAAAAATAAAGCATGTAAGTATAGAAATATAATTTATTGTAATTAATAACATAATGGGGGTACATGTTAGATGCTGTTACAGCATCTTGTGCTAGGTCTTGAATGATGGGGGGGCCAGAAAGAGGAAACAGCTTGAACACTGGGATGGAGGTATTCATGCATGGATTTGACCACTATTTATTGATTTCTGAGTTTGTATTATGTGTTGGACACTGAGCAAGGCACTGAGATGCAATAGTGACAAAACCAGGCTTGGTCCTGCCCTCATGAAGCTTCTGTGGAGTGGGAGGCAGGCAGTCATCAGGCTAATTTACACAGATGGGTGGAAATGACAACCATGCTCCCTGCTGTGAAGGAGAGGCGTGGTCCCAGCAGAGTGTATAACAGTTGGACCTGACCTTGTTGAGGGGGTCCAGAGGTGTCTTAGTCTGTTTGGGCTGGTATCACAAAACTAGGTGGCCTATAGACAACAGAAATTTATTTCTCATACTTCTGGAGGCTGGGAAGTCCAAGATCAAGGTGCCAGAAGATTCAGTGTCTGATGAAGGCATCATAGACAGCGCCTTCTTGCTGTGTCCTCACATGGTGGAAGGGGCAATTAAGCTCCCCTGTGCTTCTTTCGAAAGGGTGCTCATCCCATTCTTAAGAGTTCCATGCTCATGACCTAATCACCTCCCAAAGGCCCCACCTCTTAATACTTTGGCACTGGGGACTGGGGAGGCGGGGAGTCATAAACACTCAGACTACTGCAGCAGGGCCTCCCTGAGGTGGTGAGGATGGGCAAAGCTGGTGAGTGATGAAGTGTTCACGCAGTGAAGAGTGGGGGGACCGGGGGCCAGGAAAGGGGCCAGAGGAGCAAAGCCTGTGTTCAGCAGATGGTATCAGGGGCACTGAGGGTAACTGATATTGTGGGGGGCATAGAGTGTATGTGCAGGGTTCAGGATGGGTGGGGCCCAGATCACAGGGGCCTTATTGTCCCAAGCAGGAGCCTGGATACAATCCTTTGGTCAGGGTGGGGGCACTGAAAAGTTTTGAACTAGAATGTCTGGGTCATCTGGTCAATGACCTGGAGCTTGAGAGTTGGGAGGGAAGAGGGTTCCAGAGCCTGTCACTGATTGCTGTGTCCATCTCTTGGTTCCAGGTGTCACTGACTGTCAGAGGAATGAGGCGGGCCTGCAGTGTGACCAGGATGGCCAGTACCGAGCCAGCCAGAGGGACAGGGGCAGTGGGAAGGGCTTCTGCCTGGACGGTGAAGGGCAGAGGCTGCCATGGTCGGAGACAGAGGCCCCACTTGAGGACTCTCAGTGTCTGAGTACGTGCTGGCGGTCACATCAGCCACAGTCACTGGGGAGAGGGCAAGTGGTCTCGAGGGCCTTAGAGAAAGGGAAAGACGCATGTGATGCATTTGTCTCTAACTTTTTATTTTGAACAATTTTAAGCTAGGAAGTTGGAAAAATCCCTGTCACCTAGGTTCAAAAATTGGTAATAGTTTGCTCTCTCTTTTTTAAATCTCTCTTTTGGAAAGTAAGTTTCAGACATCATGAATTCTCACCCCTAAATACTTTATAAAAAAAAAAAGATAATCTGCTGGGGCTTCCTTCCTTGTAGGCAGCTTGTGGAAAGACTTGGGTGCCAGTCCTTTTTCCATGACTTATTCTCTGAGTGCCCCAGAGCAAGTTGCTCAACCTCTCTGATCCTCAGTCCCCCAGTGGCTTCCTGCCTGACTCGTGAGACATTTTGAGGATCAACATCATCTTATAATGTCAACAAATATTCATCGAGCACTACCCTGTGTCAGTCTCAGTTCTACCCTGTGTGAGATGGTGTGTGGCAAAGTCCTGAGTGAACCATCGAATGTCCTACTGTACAACATGTGATGGGAATTCCCAGAATGGAAGGGAAGAGCATGGTCTGTTGATCAGAAGGAGTTTAATCACAATGGTGCCCTTCACTGGCTGTGTAGTGTAAGGAAAAATCACTCACCCTCAACACTTTGCTCATCTGTAAAATGGAGATATTAGTGCCTACCTGGCAGGGGTGTTGAGTGCGTTGGCAACGACATGCCTTCCAGAGGCTCAGCAACAGTAGTTGCCTTGTTTCTTCCTCAAACAAGGAAGTCTGGGACAACCTGCAAGCTCCCTTAATCCTGACCTTCTCTAAGTCTTCAGGACCCTGCTCCACCTTGTCATAGAGTCACCTTCCTCTGCTGAGGTCCTGTGGCTCACCTCTGCACACTTGACAAGCCAGAGCCAGCCCTGCCTGCCAGAGTCTCTGAGGGTTTCTGTGTGAGGCGAGGGCCTGATGTACCTGGGCCTGCTATGTGCCAGGCATTCATATGCTGACCACGTTTAAACTCCATGGTAGTCCTGAGGGGTAGGCATTATTACCACCAATATTTCAGTTAAGGGAACTGAGACAAAGAATGTTTAAGTGCTTATCTTTATCCTATAGTTAGGATAGAATATTTGTAGAATTTGAACTGGTGTGCAATGACTCCCAACCCCCTGCATTTTCCATTGCACTGATCTGTGCTTCTATCTAGATTCATCTGCTTCCTCATTAAATACAAATGTGTGTGTGCATACATATCCTGCTTATCTTCTAGGGAAGTTGGTACAGCTAATGACATAAAATACCAGAGATAATCCAAGTGAGACATTTTTTATTTTCTAATGCTCAGAGCAATCATTTCCCTTCTTTTGTAAAGAGCTAACGAATCCCAAGGATTGTGTGTGTGTGTGTGTGTGTGTGTGTGTGTGTGTGTGTCCCTAAGGATAAATTGCAAATCCATAGAAAGTCTTACTATGTGTTTTTCCAATATACCCCATCTTGGGCAGGAATAATGATCAGGGGAGTTACAGCTGGAAGGTATGGTACGAGATCAATCACATAGATCCTTCACAGGAAGGAGAGGTTACCCATAGAGAAGAAGCTACTTGCCCAGTGGACCTGATGACGAGGGGCCATTCAGGGATCATTGCCTGAGTTCTCTAAGCCTTCTTTGCATCCCTGTCAATGGCTCAGCTTGAAAATTGTAATATGAAGTTTGCAAAGCATTTCATGGCTTGTTCTGCTCAGTGTTTGGGGGAGAGAGGACGGTTTAATCAGTGGCAGCAAGGGCATTTGTGAGTCTCAGCTCAGCTTTGAGGACGTGGATGATGCTCCTGAGGGCTGGCTTATGAACAGCCTCCACACTGATCCACAGCATCTTTGGCTTCTTATGCAAAGCTCTGAGCTTAAGTTTCCCTTTCTGGATGTGCAGGGAGATTTCCATGTGAATAAGCTGGGCCCCCACTGGGATGTCAACATTTCTCTTCTCCAAATCCCTCAACTTGTCTTTGAGAAGCACTTTCTCTTTGGAGTGGGATTATAGTCTCACTTTTGAGACTTTTGTCCTTCATGAAAAGCAAAAGACTTACAGGTCAGCTCTATGCCTCTCCAAACAGGTCTATTTGAGAGGGGTTTGCCCCTTCTCCACCCCACTGCTACCCCCTTGTCTAGCCTCTGCTGTTACCCACACAGTTACCTCTAACTCATCTTCCTGCACCAGTCCAGCAATTTTCCTATGGTGCTTCCAGCTCACTTATTTTAAAAGGCAATTATGCTTATGTAATGCCCCTTGAAAGTCTTCAGTAGTTCTGTGTTGCTCCTGGGACAAAGTATAACTGCAGTATCCCAGCCTCCTCTTTGGGCTCTAGCCTCATTACAATGTATACTCCTTTGGGGCCAGAACCGTATCTTATTTCTTGTTCTATTCCAGGGCAGTAGGTACTTGTTGACAGAATAAATGAATTGCTCCACTTATCTGGCTTCTTTGAAACTATTTCCTAAAGATCTTCAGGGAAGGAGATTCTCCTGCTAGCCAAATTCCTGTGGCCAATTTTACAAGTCCTCAAGTGGAGGCAGCTGTCCTTGCAGAAGTCAAAGGGGCCTGGCATTTACTGAGTTATTACCATGTACTGGATATTCAATGCTATTTTATTTAATTCTTACAACCAGGAAACTGAGACTCTCAGAGGTTGAGTATGCCCAAGGACACAGAGCTGGTAAGGAGTGGTGGCACCAGGACTTGAACTTGAGCACTGGTGCTCTTTCCCTCCTGTCTGCTACTCCCTGTCTTAAATCCCTCCTGCTGCAGCTTCACGGTGCCCCCCTCATCTCCTCCGTGTTCCCTTTGTTTACTCTCAGAGTTAGTCTGAGCTTGGCCAATACAAATATTTCAAGTTCACTTTCCCTTTAACTTTAGATCCAGTTTTCTAACTCTGCTCTTTGTTGACCCTTGCTAAAGATCTTATGTACACGTCCAGTGCCTAAACAAAGATACATGCGTCCTTTTGGAATTACACCATTATAATGTTCTCTCCTGGCTTTCTGTTGTTGTAATGACATTGTTAGTCATTTATTTGCTCATCTACCTACCCATCCATCTGTCTACCCAAAGAACAGAAAACTAGTATCTTTGCTGCTATCCTAGCTAGTGAAGGTTCAGATATGATCAGAACATTGTTCTGGCCCTGGAAGGAGACGGGAGCATAAATAGCCATAATACACTATGGAAGAATCATGATCAAATATATGCTGTTCTTAGATGTTATCATTAGATAACATTAGATGTTATCACTTTATGCTTTCCCCAAGACATTTGTAAATATATGCTAAGTAGAAATTTGCTACGTGGGAAATTATACCAACACAATGTATAAATCTGCAAACTAACTTAGTATTCCATTGGCAACTTGGTTCATGGGTTGTTCCTGTTCTGTTTGGCAACGAGATTCTGCATAGAATGCTGCAATGTGAAGGTGTTTGTCAACAAGGTGTCCTTTTTTGGAAAACCAGCAGATTCTCTACTGAAGTGCTAAATTTACTGCATTTTCATCTGAGTTTATTAGAAGTTGAAAGACCTCTCGTATTTTATTTAGTCTCCCTAAAATGTTTTGAGCTTCTGGTCTATACCAATTGAGCCTTAGGAACACTCTGCTGACGATAGCATTGAGTTTGCTGGACAGGAGCTTGCAGTCTCTACAAAGAGGGCACCAAGGAGTACAAAATAAAAATGAGAGAATGAAATGAGAGAAGAGCAGAGCACGTGAACGAGGCAACTTCAGTGATCAATGTGGAAGGACCATTTTGTAAAATTAAAATTTTTTTCTACATCAAAATGTTTGAAGGCTTAAAACATGTCATTTCTATTATATTAATGCTCCTCTCTCCCAACCCCATCCCAAAAGGAATAAACATAGTTTTTGTGCTTATTGTGAAAGCCAAGAAAAGATTGCTTTATATGGCCTTGAATTTATTGACTGGATGACAACCAGTCCAGTCACAAGTGTCTTTTATAAAGCAATGGATGTGTATGATCATGAGAGCTTACATACATGTTCATGTCTGCAAAGAACCGATACTCATGTGCTCTTGGGCTTGTAAGTCTTGTTTTTTGATAGTTACACTGCAAAATATTGACACTCTTAGGCATTTGTGGCTTGGAAGATAAATCTCATTCCTTGAGAGTTACCCTCTATGGCTTTTTGCTTGGTGAAGAATAAGTTCCAAGTCCCATAGCCTTGAGAAATTGTGTTCCCTTGCTTGTCTAGTTCCATGAGTGTGTGGCTGTGTTTTTCCTACCAAATGGGGCTCAAGTGTGTTGAAAAAACAGATGTTAATATATTGCTTAAATAAATACTGTCTCAAAAATACCTGAGCTACATGACACATTTTGAAATTTACATGAGCCCATATGTACATATCTTATTTCTATTTTTAAAAATGACATACTTCATTTCAGAAAGAATCGAAGTTAATGAAAAAAAAATTCAATATAATAATTATATTATATAATTAGAGCTCAAAGACAAGGACAGGGAAATATAAGTTTAGATAGAAAAATTAATGTCAATGAGAAGAAATGATTTGTAAATACTAGCATAACATTAAATTTCTCCCTCCTTCTTGACAGCCAAGTAGAAAAAGGGAGACATGGTGAAGTATTAGCTATGAGGCAGTGTGCTGGTGCTACCTTAAAAAGGAATTGTTGTCCATGGCATATTTATGTCACCAAGGGCTTCAAGTGGGAAGTGACTTCATGACCTAACACTTGTTAGCTTCTTTGCAGATGTTCTATAACCTTCAGAATCAGATTTCATAAATATGCTTTACTTTCAGTGATGCAGAAATTTGAGAAGGCACCAGAATCGAAGGTGATCTTCAATGGCGATGTTCCTGTGGTGGTCAGGTCCAAAGTTCCTGATTCTGAATCTCCACTGGTGCAGTGCTTGGCAGGTAAGGGGTGAGGGGGAGATGGGTATATGGAGAGTGGTGTAGAAGTACGCTCTGCTGATATTGGAAAGACAAATAAAATTAAAACATTCAAACTATAATGAAAAAACATGCTTTATCAAAAACAGCATAAATCAATTGCTTTCTAAAATGTATAGGCAATTCAGAATGTTAATGCTGAATTTATAGTATATCTGCTGTATGCCAAGAAGTATGCTGAATGTTATGGAGCAGAAATGAACAAAATTAATCTGGTGTAGAGCTATTTGTCTAGGTCAGGATATGTATCTGTTTATTTCAACAGTGAGAACAGAGAGGTGGTATGAACAACTACTGAGTGTGTATCTTTACAAGGATTATCTCATAATCTTATAATGACCCATAAAGTAGCCATTGTTATACCAAGTTACAGATGAGAAAAATAAGGCTTTGAGAGTTTAAGTAACTTACTCAATGACACAGAGCTTGTATGTGACAGAACTTAAATTCAAACCTAGGCTAAGGGATGGGATGTCCAAGCCTACGGTCAACCATTGCATTATGCCTCCCTCAGTAATGACATGTGGTTTAGTTGTTAAGTAATTATACTGAGTATGAATCCATTTTGGATATCTGCTTTGGTTATGAGAGGCATATCCCATTGTTTGTATCACAAACACAGAGCGAGGCATGAAGTAAGAACTGAAAAAAATGTTTGTAGAATGAACGGTATTCACAGGAACTGGAGGGACAGGACCAAGGGGTCAACAGAGTAAATGTGAGGAACTGGCACCAAGACAGCAAACTTGATGGTCAGCTATGGCAGTTATTTGTCTCGACAAGGAGTGTCATGCATGTACCCATGTGTGTGCACACATGTTGTGACACAGCTTGAGTTAGAGGGGCAAACTTGTGGGATGAAAAGAAAAAGTGGATGCAGAATCTTAGGGAATGGGGCGAGCAGGGAGGACAGGTCCATCTGTTAGTCTCAGGAGATGGTTTAGCCAACTGGGCTGTTATTAGTCTGTTACTGTTGCTTGTAACAAAATTCCTGGAACTGGATAATTTGTAAGAAAACAAAATTTATTGCTTATGGTTTCAGAGGCTATGAGTCCGAAGTCCAGGGTTGAGGATCTTCTTTGGTGGTGGCTTTACAGCAATGCAGGGGACTCACATGGCAGAAAATGGTGAAACAGAGAGAGAGGAGAGACTCTTGCATGCTCTCCTTTTAAAGCTCTAAGAACCATGCCCCTGACCACCATTACTAATCCATCCACTACGGCATGATCCTACAATCCGATTACCTCTTCAAGGCCCCACTTTTTCATTACCATAGTAGGATTTCCCATCCTTTTAATGCTGTCACAGTGGGGACCAAACCTTCAACACTACATGGGCCAAACTGGGCATCCAAGTTATGGTGAGAGAAAACAGGTAGTTGTGCCAGAAAGGTCTCTCAAGATGGTGCCTATCAGCCAAATGAGAGTTGGGTAGTCCAAGACAGCCAGTGTTTGTAGATTCAGGGGGATCCACCCTAGTCTGCTCAGGCTGCTGTAGCAAAGTGCCACAGACTGGGGCTTCAACAGCAGACATTTGTCTTCTCAGTTCTGATGCTGGAAGTCTGAGATCAAGGTGTTGGCAGGGTTGTTTTCTTCCAAGGCCTCTCTTCTTGGCTTGTAGATGGTGTCTTCTCCCTGTGTCTTCACAAGGTCTTCCCTCTGGATTCCTCTGTGTCCTAATGTCTTTTCTGATAAAAACACCAGTCAGATTGGATTAGGGCCCACCATATGACCTCATTTTGCACTCACCCTGTGTCTAGACACAGTCACATTCTGTGTTAGATACTGGGGGTCAGAGCTTCAATATATGAATTATGGGTGGGGGACACAATTCATCCCATAACAAGCATCAAAAAGATTTCATGGTAGGACAAAGGGCCATTTAAGAGGTAGGAAAATAAGCCACTATGGCAGTGGGAGGGGTGCATACTGTTGTTGGTGAGGGAAAGGAGACTGGTAAGAAAACCAAGTCATCCAGATAACTAAACAGCATGCTGGAGAGTAGGAGAGACATGTGGTTTAGTGGGAGCGTGAGGTGAAGTGTGCTTAGGGCCATGGCAGGAGCCCTGGTTCTAGGTCGGTACTTGGCCTACGGGAATTGAGGGTGCCGTGTTCTTATGCTGACCCAGAACTTTTATTGTTTTCTTGTCTGGATTTGTCCCTGAGCGTGAAGCAGGATCTGTTTGCAATGAGGATCAAGTTAGTTCAGTTGAGAGGATAGGAGGGCTTCAGGGCCAGGGGCTGAGTGAGCCAATAAGAATTATTTTCTTTGGGTTCTGAATGGGCCAGGCAGTTTGTGGGCAAAAGGTCACCATTTTGGTCTCAGTCAGTGCCTAGTTAATGAGGGCATTGCAGCCATTGTAGTGCTGAGATGGAAATCAGGAGATGCTGGAAACCCCCAAAGACCACATTTGCACCCAAGGTTTGATCTTGGTAGAGTCACAGCTTATGAGATGTCCTGTTAGACAAGAGGGAACACCTTAGTCACCAGATACGAGGGGCTTTCCCTTGCCCTTCAGCTGGGAAGATGCAGTGTGAGGGCTCAGGGACTGGAGTGCAGAGGAATCTGAATAACTGCTCTGCCATCAGCCAGCCACATGACCTTGCCACGTCTTAGCCTGGGTTTCCTCATCTCTAAATTTGCCTCTTACCTAATGCAAGAATCAGTATGAATAATATATGTAAGAGTACTTTGTAATGGTAAATATATAAGTGTAAGTTGTTTTTTTATTCCAGTAAACTCACATTTTCTACCAGAACTTCCTATCCCTCATAAATCATTAGTTGCTATCAGTGTTCAGAATATTACACAGTTGAATATGGCCTGTTTTTAAAAAAATATAATTGTAACTTAATTCATTTATTTAACACATTTTTAGAATCTCCTATGTGCTGGGCAATATGCTTCATACCTGTCATATAATGTGAACGTAGCAGCCATGGTCCCTGCCCTCATTAAATGTGTGGTCTCCTGCATTCATGAGAGGGCACTTGTTGTAAGAAGTAGGGATTTTATTATATCATTAAATCTCCCAATAGGGCCATCATCAGCTCCCTGAGGGAATATAGCCATGAACAAAGATGTGATCTCAACAGATATCTGGACGTGGGTTCTTATAGAAGAGAAGCAATTAAAATGTAAAAAAGGTTTAATTTAGGCAGATACAGCTTAGTAACCACAAACTGAAGTCTGACTGCTTAGATTTAAATTCTAGATCTAGCACTTGGTGGGGTTGCGACCATGGATACATAACTGGACTGAACTATGTTTCAGTTTCCTCCTCTGTAAGGCAGGGATCAGTGATTCAGTAACACAGAGAGCACTTAACACAGCATGTGGTACATGGTATGAGCTCAATAAACGTCTCCCATGTGTCTGTATTTGTGTGTGTGCACGTGTGTATATGTTTGTGAGTGTCTGGGTGATTGTATTTAGGTATGTAGGTATATTTGTGTGTGTGTGCTTGGGCGTGTGGGGACAGGGGTAGGGGTCCCTGTCTGTCCTGTCCTCAGCATCACTTGAGAGACCCAGGTGGGTGACTGTCCTGTGGTTCTTATAGATTGTGCTGAAGATGAAGCTTGCGGCTTTCTCACGGTGTCCATGACAGGGTCAGAGGTCTCCTGTGATTTCTATGCGTGGACAAGTGACAACATCGCCTGCACAACTTTTGGTCAGGTGAGGCGTGGCAGCCAGTGGTGGTTCTATCTCTCATCCGTTCTATGTCAGACACGCTCCTCATTGACACCAGGCTGATCAGGGGACAGAATGAGAGTGTGGAAAGCTGATCCCGTGTTGCCTCCATTTCCTCAAAGCCATGAGCCTTTGGGAAACTGCAACAGACCAGAGATGGACTCAGAATGCAGCTGACGTCAGGAGCAGGATCTCTCCTGACACATTAGCCAGAAGAGCACCCCCTTCCTCCTCCCCACTACCTACCTCATCAGGCAGCTTGGTACCTGGTGGTGATGGGGTCATTGTCCAGAGCCCTAAATACTGTCTGCCCCTCTGAGTCCCAGGCCCCAGCATTCCTTTCCACTGTAGAAGTAAAACATGATTGTCACTTAAAATGAAAAAAAAGTTAAATATCTGTTAGAACCATGTGAAATTGCAATTTCTGTAAGTCAAAACTGCTAGAATATTGGCAATTTTATGTGGTACCATCAGATTAGGATAGAAAGGCATTCAGTGAAAAGCAAAAGTCTACTGTCTCCTAATTTCCTAACTCCTAAGCATGCACAGATCTCCATTTTACTCCCTGGTTTCTTGTGGATCCTTCCCGAAAACTTCTGTATATTTATAAGCATGTTTTTTGTTTGCTTACATGCTAATGTGTGTTATTTCCTGTCATGGTTTTCTCATGGTATTTATCTCTCTATATGTGTATTTTAAAGCTAACCTTATTCTTTTCCATGGCAGCATTTCAGCCCACCCTGTGGATGCATGTCTTTCCCTCAGCCAGGGGCCGTGGAGTTGAGGCAGTTTTGCATCATCACCAGCACGAGTGCTTTGCGTGCCCTTTGCCCGTGTACTCGTATGTGAGAGTGTATTCGTACACAACATCCCGGAAGGGGAATAGAGGGTGGATCCCTGAATTTGAGGGCTCTTACGCTGGCTTTGTAGCTACAAGATATAGGGAAGAGGCAGGGAAGAGTCTTGGGTCCAAATCCCAGCTGCACAACTTGCTTGTTGCTGTTTAGCCCCTTGGTTCCTCAGATCCTTCCATATAAGATGGGGTTAATGATGGTACCTGCATCGCAGGGTCATTGTGAGGACTGAATAAGGTCCCTCATGGAAAAGCTAACAGAACAGTGTCTGCCTCACAGTGCATGCTCAGTGACCATTATTATAATTATCATCATTGCTGTCAATATTACTACGCCCCCGTCAACGGGAAATTCCATCTCAGCCTTTATTAATGCTCCTCTCCAAGGCCTTGGGCTCTTAGTGCCCTGGGGTGTGCGTGGGGGTCCTTGGTCAGTGGTCATCAGTGACTGGTCCACACTGGCCATGTGGAGGCCCATGGCCTTCAGCTTTCCCGGCTCCACTGCTTCTGGGTCAGGCGTGGGATGTGGGGGGACTCTTTGACCAGGCAGGAGCCTCAACACATGGGTTTAGCCTACCGAGGTCCAGCTGTCCATCTGACATCTTGCTGCCCGCTGTTCCACCAGGGCATGACTACAGAAGGGGCGAGGGCTCCTGATACTCTGGGAACCCCTCTGAGTCCTTCCCAGTTCTGCAGCAATATCTTCCCACTTCATGCTCTCTGAGGCCCTTCCTTCCCTCGCTCCCCAGGTGTATTAGTCCATTTTCTGTGGCTTATAACAGAATGCCTGAAGCGGAGTAATTTATAAAGAAATATAATTTATTTCTTACAGTTTTAGAAGCAGGGAAGTCCACAGCCCAGAGAGTGTGTCTGGTGAGGGTCTTGTTCTTGGTGGTGGCTCTCTACAGCGATGCAGGGTGTCACATGGCGAGAATGGGCTGAGCAAGAGAGAGCTAACCTTCTCCCTTGCCCTACTCTTATAAGAATGATGCCGTCAGAACCATGCCCATTTCTCCATGAATGGGTCAGTCTATTCACAAGGGCACAGTCCTCAAAACCTAATCACCTCTTCAAGGCCCCACCTTTCAAATACCATAACTGGATTTCCCACCCTCTGAACACTGTTACAATGGGGACTAAGCTTCAAAGAGTTTTGGGGGGCATTCAATCCACAGCACCAGGCCATCATCTCTTCAGTGAGTTCGGGCTTTCTAAAAAGCAGGAAGAATTATTTCCTTCAAATAGCCCTTGCCCTCAAAAAATTCCCACAGGGAACTCAAAGTCTGGCAACCTTGATGGGGAAAGCAAATTCTGGCAACAAAATACAAATTGATATAGTCACATATATCCTACCTCACCCACACGGCAAGATTGCTGAAGATAAGTCAGGGAGATCAGAGATAATTGAGAATGACAAGATCTTTAGAAGTCCGAACTCACTATTTCCAAACTTAAGAACCATCTCCCAGATCCTCGCTGGATAGAAGCTACACACCTACAAGGTCTTCCAGGAGCTGGCTGCTGCCTCTCCCTTCTCCCGTCACTCTTCCCTCATAACTGACAGTGCCAGGACCACTGGGTTTAGTTCCCAAAACGCCAGTGAAATTCTGGGTCTCTGTGTCTGCTGTTTTCTCTGCTTAAAATCCCCCTTCTCTTATTTCCATCTGGCAAACTCTTACATATCAGAATCTTTCCCGGATTCACTTTTTCTGGGAAACTCTTCTAGCTCCCCTTTCTTTATGGAATTACTTACTCCCTCCTCTCTAATTACTCCTCTCTAATTACATATGTCTTTGCAGCTAACACTCTGGGCTGGAGTTTACTGCTTACCTGTCTGCTCCAGTAGATCAGGAGAAACTAATAAGCAGGAATCTTCTCTTATTTGTCTTTGCAGCCCCAGTGCCTAGCCCTGGTTACAGTCTGACAAATGTTTGTGGAATTGAGTTCCACCGTGGAATAATAATGCAGACTCTTTCCATCTCCAGGAACAAGATGCATTGGGAAACTTGGAGGCTGTCAGCTTTGGAAGTCTTCGGTGCCAGGTGAAAGTAAGGAACCGCAATCAAGACTCTGTGGCTGTGTATTTGAAGAAGGGTATGTTGTTCATGTTTGATGGCTCAGGGACTCAGTGGCTTCACTCAGTCAAGTTTGGAGCTGGTTCCAGCAGGGTGCATTTAGGGAGAGACCAGACGACATGTCTCCTTCCCCACTGCATGCACTAAGCTCAGCTTCCCTCTCCTCTGTCCTTTAGCAGGCTTGTCACAACGTCCTCTACAGGCAGATAGTGATGCCCCCACTACTGCAGAGGGCTTCACACATCATTGTCATTTGTGTCATCAGATGTGATCCTTATCACAATCTGGCAGGGGCTGGGAGCCTCATTCTGCGGGTGAGGAAGTAAACTGCAGAGCAGACACAAAGCTCAGTGTGTGGAGGATCCAGGCAGAACCGAATGAGGCAGATTGTATGCCCTCATGCCAGCCCAGGACACTGCCTGTCACATGGGGCACATCCCTCATAGACCTGGGCCCTGGGCTCCCTGCAACTGCCCCTCATGAGCCTTCTGGCTCTTAAGGCTTCTCCTTCTCCACCTTCTCTGTACACTGTCGGACCTTTTCCTCACAGCCTGTGCAGACCTCCAAGGGCTTCCTCTTCCATTCCCCTGTGTGGGGGGACCTTCTCCAACACGATATGCATGCACATTCCCCGTGGGCTTGCAAAGGGCAGGTTCTGAGTCAGCAAATGAGCAAGACCGAGATGCTATGTGTCTGAGAACCTCTGCCGAGGCTGCCAGCTCAGGGAATACATGAAGCAGTGAGAAGTATGGTATTTTAGTCTACAGCTTACTCTCCTGGTCATCCTCACAGAAACCTTTGGAGGAAGACAAAGGCAGGACATAATCCCTGTTTCACATATGAAGAAACAGAGGCTGAGAGAGTAACAGTCGTCCAAGGTCATGTCATTAGTAAGCTGGGCTTCACAGAGCGAGGGCAGGGAAACACTTTGGGCTGCTGGTAGCATGTGGGGGACAAGCGGTGAGTCGGAACCCTGTGGCCCATGCTCCTCTGCCGTGCTTGCCTCCTGCCTCCTCTCCAGAGCCACAAGAGGGGCAGCAGTGCAGGAGCATGAGCCCAGCTCTCCGGGCTTTCCCTCCACAGCTTTTAAGGGTGACAACGTTGGAGCCCGTCTGTCTGGGTTGAGCCCCAGCTCTGCCACGTGCTACCTGTGTGGTCCTGGGCACTTTCCTGGACATTCTAGGCTTCAGTGTCCTCATTAATAGAACAGGAGTCATAAATGTACCAAAGCGATCGGGATGCTGGAATGAGGTGACACGTGTGAAGCTCTTAGAGCAGTGCTTGGCACGTGGTAAACACAGCAAGTATCAGGTCAGCCAGGTAGCTCAGTTGGTTAGAGCACAATGTTGCAACAACAAGGTCAAGGGTTCAGATCCCTGTACAGGCCAGAAAAAAAGAAAAAAGGAAACAGAAAGTGTAGCACATTTCCATGATCATTTTTATTCTTGCTGAGAAGTTTCCTGATGGCCCAAGGCGCTGGCTGTGGACCAGAAGACAGCCAAATGGGACTTAGACTGGGACTTGGGGTTGGAATGAAGGGCGGCCGGGGTGACCTTCTCTTAGGTCTGTAGCTCAAGCTGGGTGGTCTGGGGTTTCCAGCAGCTCCAGACTCGTGCCGGAAACAGCCTGCAGCAAGTGGAGACCAAAACCTCATCTGACCCTGGTAGCAACCCTCAACCCATGGCAGGGGCAGCATTGCATTTGCTTTCTCGCTGGTCCTCTTTGGCCTGCATGCTGACTTAGCGGAGTTTGCCCGGGAGGCTGGAGAATGCCGGAGCTTGGGTTTCTCTGATCTGTGGCCAGAGTCACTAAAATTTCTGCCCTAGTGTTGACTCCAATTATTTTTACTATCCATATTAAAAAATAATAAAGCATAGGGATTATTTTCTAAAAATCAGAATGAAAATAAAACAAGTAACCCCTACCAAAAATGTCCTTTAAAACCATAACTTGGCCTTTTATATATACATTGATTAAGATGCAATCTAACTTCTTTTTAAGAGTTTGTTATTTTTTTCTTCCTCCTAAAAGTTTTTCCTTTTCTCCTAAAAAGTTTAAAACTAAAAGAAAACAAAAACTGAAAATAAAATCTAAAAGTTTTTTTCTCTTCTCCTAAAAGTTTATGCTTCGGTGTAAGATTGCAAGGGAAATTAGGAATCTTCCTTGTTGCCAAACTAAATCAAGGGCAGAACTGAGTTTTGCTTGTTTTGTTTTGTTTTGCTTTTTTGTTTAAAGAGGAAGATGCCCAGAAGCCGCCATTCTGGCTCCTGGTGTAGTGGAAAGAGGAGGGAGGTTGGCACCAGCTGGACCTGGCTTCAGCCTCCCGCCGCCTCCCACCTGCCAGCTCTGTCCCTGATTAGGAACGACATGCTTATTTCACTCGAAGCTCAGTCTCTTTTCTGTAAAATGGGGATAATATGTCACAACTAAGGAGGAAAGAACACAGTTTCTGAAAGTCTCCAACACAGTCCTTGGCTCCTAATAGGCAGTTAATCACATCCATCCACATCCCTCACCTTAAGCAGCCTGGAAGATGGGACTAATGGAAGGGCCAGAGACCCGTGGCCTGACCTGTCGTCCAGTACCATCCGCTGTCTACCACAATTTAATGTCTGTGGGCTTTGAGGAGGAGCCATGGGATCTTTCAGAATGAAAGGAAGTCAATGCCCAAAGTCTCCTTAGAGATTGTCTGGCCCAATCTCTCATCTCAGAGATGAAGTCTAGAAAGAGGAAACATCTCGCTACCCAGTACATCAAGGCGGAACCTCCCCCAACTCTGAAAGATCTACCAACCTGCTCTGTCGGCTAGGACTCGACCATTGTGTGGGGCAGCTCAGCATTGGCACAACCTGTAAATAGCTACTGAGCACCCACAACATGATAAGCACCTTTGTAGGCACTGTGGGTGCAGCTGTGAACAAAACAGACAGAATCATGGGTGTATAAAGGAATTGGTCCAGCAGTAAGATCCTCTCAGAGGGTGATAAGTGCTTGGATGAAAATGAAACAGGACAGTGGGATACAGATGGACGTGAGCTGCTTAGGGTGGTCAAGGAAGGAACTTCAGAGGAGGAGACATTGCAACTGAAACCTGAAGGATGGGAAAGATCCCACCATGCAAAGATCTCAGGGTAGGTGGTCCTCTGTGGAGGATGCCATTGTAAGCTGAGACATGGCCCTAGACTCCAGGGCAACACCGTCCAGTAGAACTTCCTGTATGGTCCATAAGTAAGTCTGTGCTGTCCAAATGGTAGTCCTCATCTACATGTGGCTGCTGAGCACTTGAAACGTGGCTGTTGCAACTTTAACTTTGATTAATTAAAATTGATATTTAAATAGTCAAATATGGCTAGTGACTACCGTTCCAGGCATCAGGGAATCACAAACTGGCAGGAAGGCAGGCACCATCTCAAGTAGCTTGGATACAGGGTGACAGATGATAGAGCCTTTAGCTGGAGGCCCAGACAGAATGTGAGAGAGATCGAGGAAGGGAGAGATGAATTCTAACTAAAAATCTGGGGAGGGACCTTTTAACTTAAGGCTGGGCTTTGGTGAAGGGTGGGCAGGGGCCTTGCCTGGCATAGTTAGAGGGTGTTCCAGGCAGAAGGGGCTGAGTGAGCCAATGCTTGGAGAGGGAAGATGCTGGCTCTTTGGAGACGTGTAAAACATCTGCTGAGCATAAGCTAAGTGCCAGGCTCACTGCTCAGCCTTTTTATGTACAGTATTTTTTTATATCTGCTCAACATCCATGAGGATTACATATTATCATCCCCATTGCACAGATGGGGAAGCTGAGGCTCTGAGGAATTAGGAACTTGCTTGGCAAGGGTGCTGTAGGATCTGCACTCAGGTTTGTCTGTGCTCTCAGGGTCCACACTGTAAGCTTATCCACTACCTCCAGTACATGGGTTAGTTAAAACCTGGTGGATTGCTGGACGGGCAGCAGGTCAGAGTGGTGAAGAGTATAGGCCGTGGTGTCCCTTCCACCACGCTGCAGCAGTGTAAACCTAAGCAAGACAGTCCATGTGTTAAGACTCTCTTTTCTCAAGTGTAAAATGGGCATAAGAATAGGAAAGACATTTTGGCTATATTGCAATATATATTTATATCCCTGAAAAATCACATGTTTGCAAAATGATGCTCTAAAAATATCAAGGCTGGTGGGAAGACCAGACTTAGGGATAGGCAAAATCCAAACTATGCCACTTTTAACCAGAGGACTGGCAAAAACAGTAATAGTCCTACTTTAAAAAAATACTAGCACGGTTTTAAAAAAGGCATGTTGAATTTGTAATAAAGAATACTACAGTAGGTGTAAAAGGGGCTTGGTGAGGAAGCTTGTTGAGGGTGCTGAGTTATGGGGACAAGGGAAAACTGCCACCATCACTTTGCACAAAGCTGAGGGAAAACTGCAACTGTCATTGTGAAGACAGAGCCCGAGGGACAGTGTGAGACAAGAGGAAGATGTGGGGCAGGTGGGCATTGTGTTACATCCTCAGTTTCCCTTAGCTTGCTGCATTCGCTGGGTTTGTCTACGCCACATTCCTAGATTAATTTTTAATCCCACAGGCAGTGATAGGCTGGGGAAAGTTGTAGATAGAGAGACCAATGTGACTACAGCATTACAGAGGCCGAGCTTCCCTTCTACCCTGTGTTCAAACTAATTTATGTTACAGAAACGCGTGGGATGGCAGTGCGGGGCAGTGAAAATTAAATGAGATAATGTAGGTAAAGCATGTGGTGCAGTGTCTGTGTATACAGTTAGAGCTCAATAAATATTGGCTGGCAATAATGAAAATAATATGTGCCCATTTTCTACACATACCCTGTAGACCCTCGCAGGTATGATGGGCATTTGTCCAGATCTGCTGGGTTTGGGGCCATGGCCTTGGCTGGCTCCACTGTCTTCACACACAAGCAGCTCCAGAAGTTTTGCGGCACAGAGAGCATCTGGTCTTGGACCACACCCTGCCCCAAGCACAATCAGAGCTAGTTCCACAAACTGTCGTCATAAGATCGGTAAACTCTGTTCAACTCTGCCATATTTCAAAGTCTTTTAAAAAATTTTTCTGCATTTTCCCCAGGTCAAGAATTCAGTGCAAAAAGTCAGAAAAGCTTTGTACCAACTGGCTTCCAAAACGTGCTCTCCGGATTGTACAGCCCCATTGTGTTCTCAGCATCAGGAGCTAATCTGACCGATGCTTACCTCTTCTGTCTTCTTGCATGTGACCGTGATTCCTGCTGCGATGGCTTCATCCTCACACAGGTCCAAGGAGGTAATGCTGACAGCGAGGGCTGGAGCTTAACAAGGGCCAGGGAACATGTAGGGATGCAGAAGCAGGATGTACAACCTGGAGCCTGGCCTGGGGAGTTGGAGCCATGAGGTAACCACACCTGAAGAAGGCGATATTCACATATGCAAAGTCAGGACAAACCCTGACCCTTCCCCATGTCACCTCCTGTGATAGCCACTTCACATTGTAGCATTGGTTTATTCCTTACTGTGATCTTCAGGGGAGGTATTGCAAGCTCCATTTTACAAACTGAGAAGCTGAGGCTCAGAGAATTTAAATCATTTGCCCATGGTCATATAGCTTGCAAAGTGACAGAGCTGGGATTTGACCAAAGGTATATCTCCAACAGCATATTGCTGCCACCTGTGAAGCCTGGACTGGTCACAATTGGTCAAAAAATCATTTCTATTGCACATGATTATTTATTCAACAATTATCTGTTGAGCACCTACTGTATGCCAGGTCCTGTGAGCAATAGGACTGTTATTTCTGACAGTCTCTCAGCAGTGGGAATGCACTTCTGTTTATAGAAATAAATCCATGCAGTTGGCGGTGTAACCGAGTGGTTGAGAAGAGACTTTGGTGTAACAGACCTGGGTTCTAGTCACTGCTTCGTCACTTTCTGGTTGTGCAGTCTTTTTTTTTTTTTGTCTTTTTGTCTTTTTTCCGTGTCCGGCAACGGATCGCAACCCTCAGTGTCGCCCCCGCACCGGACCGGGGACCGGCGACGGGATCGCAAGCCTCGGCGGTCTGTACGTGGGATCCGAACCCTCGGACGGGAGCGTCGCCGCGCTTCCCAAGTGGCGCACTATCCAGTGCGCCACCGGGCCGGCCCTGGTTGTGCAGTCTTGAACAAGGAACTTTAAGTTGCAGTTCCGTCATCTGTAATATGTGGGTAACGATGCTTCCTATTTGACTGCTTGTTTTAAAGATAATGAGTGCAAAATGTTGAACATCCTGGTATACTATTAATTTAGTAATGAAGGGACAACTGTTTCACATGAGAATCAACTGTACCTTCATCTTAGCAGCGTCAAACTGTAACCAGTGATATGACTGGTTGCATTAAGCTTATGGAGAGTTCTGGGCCGGCCCGGTGGCGCACTGCGCTAGTGCGCCGCTTGGGAAGCGCGGAGGCGCTCCCGCCGAGGGTTCGGATCCCACATACAGACCGGTTCCCGCTCACTGGCTGAGCGAGGCGCGGGGGCAACACCGAGGGTTGCGATCCCGTTGCCGGTCCCGGTCCGGTACGGGGGCGACACTGAGGGTTGCGATCCGTTGCCGGACACAGAAAAAAGACAAAAAAAAAAAAAAAAAAAAAAAAAAAAGTTTTGGGGGGTTTCAAAAGTTTTTTAAAAAAAAAAAAGAGGTCTTTTTTTTTTA